CCGCCGAAGTCGTCGAAGCAACTGCAGGAACGGTGTCGGCGGGCGGCTCAGGCAACTCAAACTCAAACTCAGCTTCGCTCGAAGCGTCATCGTCGTCTTCAGAGCGAGCAGAGACAGCGGGCTGAGTAGCAGAACTCAGCTGAAGGTGACGAACCTTCTTCCGCCGAGTCCGACGACGGGACTTTCCAGAGCGAGGCCTTCCTCCATCGGATACAGTAGCTTGAGGTGAACTTGAGTGCAAAAGGGTACTGATAGCCTCGTGTCCATCCTCTCCGGGGAGTGGACAAGCGTACGGTTGAGGCGGATGCGGCGCCGGTGCACGATGACGAGGACCTGCAGCAGTGGGAGACTTGGGGTTGGCATAACGCCGAAGCCGCTGAGTCGAGGTCAAGTTTGCCAAAGGCGTACGGTGAAGCTGAGCAAGAGTCGGCTCAGCCTGGGCTGTTACCGCCGCTGAGCTGACTGGAGCCGCAGCCGAGTCTGCCAATGAAGTCGCCGAAGACGCTTGACTAGCTGAGGGAACCACACTAGGACCAATAATGGAACTCGCCACTGGAGCATCTCGGCGAGGATGGACAATCAACTCCAACCGCCGAGTTTCACCAGCGGGGATGTTGAGAACCTCAGGAAAGCGAGACTCCAAGACACGACACAGCCGGGCGTTGAGGAGAAGGTCGGACGGATCAAGTTCAGGAACTTGCAAGCCACCGCCAGCAGCAGCAGCCATGTGAGGATCGTGCATCGGAATAATACCATTCCGACGGATGAGCCGCTTCTGTCGCAAGATCACAGCCCGCTGCTCAGCGATCACCGACTGAGCGTGCCGCAAGGGTTGAGTACCGGTGGAACTGTACAACCGCACCGACTCCTGCAGCTGTTCGAAGTGCTTGGAAGCAATGCCCTGAAGAGTGACGAACGCCGCATCCCTCTCAGAAATGGATCGGAGAAGGACGTCGATCTCGGCGTCCCGATCCAAGACTTGCTGATGGTGGAGCTGGGCCTGACCCAACGCAGCGTCAACCTTGCTCTGCTCAGCTGCGATGGCCCGAGCAAGTTTTGCCTCACTCAGAGCTACAGCCTTTCGCAGCGACGCGAGGAGATTAGCCGATTGCGTGGCAGCAGCCTCCAATCGAGACACTTGCTGTTGAGCCGACGAGAGCTGAGTTGACAAGTCGACATTGCTGAGAGCAAGCGAGTCCAGTCGCCGAGTCAGTGCGCGGTTCTCCTCCTGAGCAGCTTGATTGTCAGCTTGGAGATCGCCGATGATCTTTGGATAATCAAGCGCGGCGTAGTTGTCTTTCAAGATATCCAACAGTTCCCCCGCGGAAGCAGCATGCAAAATCGCTCGCCGCTGCACGGGATCGGAGGGCTCCACGGAACGAGTAAATCCGTAAGCCATGAGCCTCGCCAAGAAGGTCAATTCTTCTCGGCGATCATGCCCTTGCTCGTTAATTCTGGCCATGAGGGAGTCAAGACTCACTGGAGCAGCCGAGCTTGGCTGATTAGTGGCGCCCGAAGTGGTGTCGCCCGGCAAGCTCGGTGGACCAGGAAGGCGCACGCGAGAAGACTCTGCCGACTCCGCGTCAGACTCATGGGAAGTTGTCAGGTCAACCAGCCCAGCTTCATGCCGGTCGCTGACCCCACGAGTACCGACGGGTCGAGGAATCGACTCAGCTGGCACGCCTTCACCTCGACGAGGAGTTGGAGAAGAAGGATGGTGCCACGGGTTGTGCTGGAACAACATGCGAAGAGTAAGGAGCTGCCAAGTGAGTGACAGCGGAAGCAACGAACGTACCAAAGAAGGTGGTGGGGAGCCGCGAGACGTCATCAGCCGAGTACGGACCAACGGTGGCAAAACAAAATGAAGGATTAAGACACTCACCAGCTCGGCTCGTATCATAACCGGGGCAGTTGTGGTGTAGGGATTTCCAGATTCGACCATACGCCGACCTACTTTAGGTCAAGAATCGGCTCGGTCTGATAACCCAGAGCTTAGGAGCCAAGGATCACGGTAAGCACTCGGCGATCTGTCCGGATATGCTATCCGGACAGCCGCTGAGCTCAACGGTCGCCGGAACTCAGCTGAAGGGTCGGTAGAGATCCGAAACGACTACATTTCATTAGATATTTGTATGAGAAGCATAGGATTAAATAGGGGGAGCCGAAAGGGCTCCCAGAAGATAACAGAGCAGAATTTTCCTAGTCCAAGACACGTGTACACTTTTCCGGTAAGTCCCTGCATAGGGCTGGATTATGCCTGCCGTCAATACTCGAGAGGCATAGCTTGTAGGGTATTGACTGGTAGCGCCAAGAGATTAGGTCGGTCCGGGTAGGACAAAGTCTCACTACGCGCGAAAGAAAGTCCCGCATACTCAGCGGGCCGGTACGTCGGATAGCCCGGGTGCCGTAACACTTCTAGCTGAGCAGCCTCTGCGCTCGGTGACCTGTAAAAGCGCTCGCGCGCCGTCGTCCATCCTTTGGTGAAGGGCACAGGGTTGTGAACGAGCTCAGCCGAACCAAGCTCGGCGGAGCCTCGGAAGTGATCTGACTTGGTTAGTCGGAACCGAGTGGAAGCGAGCCACTCGTCTGTCCAGGAAGGGCCGGACCGCGAGGGGACCACCCTCTGCGCAGGCCATACAACCGCCGACCTAACTCGGCGATTCGTTGTGGTTTGTGTAAGGAATCCACATCTGACGATATTTGTGTGCTCTACTACACCACAAAGTGATATCCATTTGGTCCTGAACTAATAGGACGTCATTGCCGGCATTCCCGTCAGCAAAATAATCGAGAATAGTTTTAGTGCGCTCGAGGGTTGTCGTGCCCAATACTTGACGGAGCAGATTTCTCGTTTGTTGTGGTGTTAAAACCATATCTGGATATCATCAACGAAAAAAAGGAGAGTGATTATAAATTAAGTTAGCAAAACTGAATAAAAAAATAGATAATACTACAGCCAAATTCACCAGCGACACCCACCAAGCTGATTCGAAAGATATCGATTAATATCAGAAGTGCTCGTTTTTATTTCTGTCAGAAGCCCAAGCTCCCTGCACACCTGGGGTGGGACCGACAACGACTTGGCCCCGCGATAGGAATCGTAGATATTCTTGCTTGTCTTGTGATTGTGGGTGGAGATCTAAGCAAATAATAGTTGTTAAGAAACGTTAAAGAAAATGCATCATAATAGCCATACCTCCGAGTCCGGATCCACAGTCACCTTTCATTTAGCAGCTCCTTTTTCGACAACGTTGACAGTTCTCGCCAAGAAACTTGCCATGCATCCCGTGTATCGCAAGTCACAATCACGCCGTCCATCACCACGAGCCGACTGTGTTGCGCCATGAGTGCACCACATTCGTTTAAAACTGTGGGGAAACCGCTCGGGAATGATCGTTGCCCTAGGGCGACTTGATTAAGCAACACAACAAGCAACACACACAAATAACATAGCAAACAACATCACAAAAATCAACAATGTTAGCAACAGCGCATGCTGTTCATGTGCCAACAAAATACGGACCTTTTGCACTTGGCACGGGCTTCAGAGCTTCGAACGCGATAGTGCAGATAATTTTCAGCCTCGTAACAGCGAAGGGCCTCTTGAAAAGTCTCCCAACCGTCAAGCGTCCTCACTGGAATTGGTGGCTTAATGTTTTCGACTGCCTGATGTGCCTTCATCATCTTTTCACGACTGTCGTACGTTTTTGTCCGGCGTCGCACAATTTTGCTCTTCGCCGACGCCGTGAAATGAGCCCCAGTTGATCCAGGCTCTCTGTGCCAGGTTTTGGTCGCTTTGGTGAGGGATCTTCGCTTTCATTCATCTCAAAGGCACCATGGCAGGATTTGCGGCTGTACGGCACGGACAGCTGCTTCCGTTTGCGACTTTCTTCGATGGCATTGGTCCGGGCAGCATCAACAAATGCGCGTGCATAGTCTTTAGTTTTGTAACAATTGAAAGCAACATTCAAAGCAACATAGTAAGCAACACAAGTAATGTATCAGCAACAAAAGAAATCGACCGGAGCATATACCTGTATCGGCTAACGCGTTGTTATCACCCGGCTCCGCGGCGGTGGCTTTGGCGTCTGCAGCCACGGCCTTCTCGCGCACAGCGTCATCCTTCTCGCTCGCCGCAACACTGGTGGCGTCGTCGTTCTCACCGACAGCCACATCCTTCTCGCCCGCCGCAACACTGGCGTCGTCGTTCTCACCGGCAGCCACATCCTTCTCGCCCGTAGCCACGTCCTTCTCGCCCGCCGCAACGCTCTTCTCCCCGGAAGCGCTGTCGTTCTCGCCCGCCATAGCGCCCGTATCCTTCCCACCCGGTAATGTATCGACCTTGCGCGCATCATCGCAGGCTTCGTTCTCCAGGCCCTCCATGTCTGCATCCTCATTTGCGATATCCTCAACCGTAACCAGAGGGTCATCGACGTAGTCTTCGTCGCTACTGGAATCGTGTATAAATCCGCGTCTAGCAAGTAGGTAGTCGACATGCGGTCTTGCTCGTAGACAGCGCCCTATACATGATAGAGCACAACGTTGTAGATTAGGACAACGTGCTGCAGGCTGCCTGTCACTATGTCCCCCGTGTCTTACCTGTGCTCTGCGCTTCTCGGCGCGCTTGCTGCTTCGGCATCTTGCTTTTCCCCCCTTCTTGGAAATGAAAGGTCTGTACAACTCGTACTTATTGAATATCGTACTTAATAGACACTGGAAAATTTACATTTCCGCTTTTGAGATTTTTAGCGTAATATAACTTGCAATAACTTACCCAGCGCCATGTGTTGTTCTAAAAGAGAAATCGTCATGTTGTAGTAATGTTGCGGTACCGACTCCGAAATTTCTTCTCCAAGTAATATTACATGTAGTTGCAGCGGTTGTCGAAAGATACGCGGCGCCACAGTTCATCAACAAGATGTCGATGATAAGATGCTTACGAGTTAGAAAAAATTACAGCAATAACCTGATACCAAGATCGAAGCGTCGCAAGCCAAGTCATGGCGCCTAGCGCGGACTCTTCAGCCAAGATGCGGGCGGCGGCCTCCGCGGTGGCAAAACCCAGCCAGCCTGAGATCGATCTCTCCTCACCACTCTTTAATGCAGCGCGCTATCTCGCCACCACGCACGCGGTGGGATGTCTAAAGTACAGAACACGCGATTCTCTTTTGTTAAACTAACCTTGCTCCTTTGCAACAGAACACGAACTTTATCCAGCTACAAACGGAATTGGAGGTGCTGCGCAAGACCACTTCCGACAAAACGGAGCAGCTCAAAGCCTTAGTCAGCGCGCACTTCGATCAGTACCTGAGCTGCCATGAAGCCGTGCGCACGTTGGCTGCAGACGTCAGTGCACACCAACAAGACACCGAGGCGCTGGTGGGGGACATGCAGAATCTGAGTCGCATGACAGACGCCTCGCTAGCAGTGATGCTGCAGCGCTCGAGGGAACAGCGGCGTATTCGCCACACATTAGCGGTGCTGGCGCGCCTACGGCCCATTCTCGAGCTGACGAGCAAGATGAAGGCCAGTCTGCGTGTCCAGGACTACGACACATTGGCAGTGGACTATGCGAGGCTGAAACACCAAAGCGACAAGATCGCAAACCTCGCTGCGCCACTGAAGCGCGTAGTTACAGCCGGTCATGAAATTGCAGCTACAGCCAACGCAGAACTGCTCCAAAAACTAGAGGATATGTCAGCATCAGTCTCCGATCAAGTGCGTTGGTTGTGGTGGTACGTTATTAATTCCATCGTGACAGTCTCTAAGCAATGCGCTTTTATACTTGCTATGCCTTTTTAGAAGCGCGCGATCGACGTGTTAGCTGCACTGGGGCTAGTTGAGAAACCCATCCTCACATGCCTCACCAAACAGTTCGAATATCTGGAACGCAAGCTAAAGCTGTTCGACGAAGAAACCAGCCAGAATTCCGGTGAAGAGATCATGAAAGAATGCGTTGCCATCGCATCTCGCTTTCGCAACGGGCTATGGAGCTTCATTTGCGAGCTGTTTAAAACTCCAGCGGGTAGTGCGGCTGCGACCAGTAATGCTATCACTTCTGTCGAGGCCGAACGAGTGCAGCAGCAAGCATGGAATATACTGTCCAAGTGCTCTGGTTTACTGGAACGTCATGCGTCACCTCCCTCGGCATTGCGTCTCAAACTACTGACCGAAGCTTTCCGTCAATTTCGATGCCTCAAGAAATGCCCGAACGCTGCAATGCTCAACGCAAACATTGAGCAACTCAACGAAATTTTCTGTAATAAATTCCGTGCCACCATTACGTTGGGATACCTGGACCAAGAATGTCAATCAGCACGATCAAGCCTTCTTGCTGAGTATTTTGAACCAGTCGTGACGGTACTGCCATCATTTTCGAGTGAAATCGCCCTTGGAACTCCAAACGCTTCCGTTTTCACTCCTGTGGTAACGGCGACAGGTCCGCGGACAAAAGTGCAGCGTGTGATTGTTGAAGCTCGACAGGCGTTTGATGTCATCAGGAATGCATCCCGGGTATCCTCCGAGTCCAAGATAGTGCTGCATCGACCGTTGGTTTTTACAACTTGTGCCACCGACGTTCTGCAACGCTGGAAAGGTATCTGGACGAATGTCGGTGGAGCACTGCTAGACGTGTTGGATATCACAGACAGCGTCAGTACTCGTAAAAGTGGAGAATCTATTCCAGTAACGGCTGACACTGACGAAGATTTTCACTTCCGAACAAACCTTGTTCAAGCTCTGGAGAAGAATCTGCGCGATATGTTGACGGAATTTCTAGACAAAGTGGTGGATACATTTGTTGCGGAGATCACTCCACCGATTCAGGTGGGATCCTACAGTAGCGGGGCTAGTGACAACCGAAATGGAGCACGAGTATGTATCTTGCTTGCCATTGTCGCGAACTGCGTCGAGTTGCGCGAAAAGTGTCTTCGTATTGTCGACGGATGGATGGCACAGATAAAATATGGCAACATTGACGAAGATGCCTTCAATAGCATGCTAGAGCACGGTCGAGCAGCCACTTCTGGTACTCGAGCGCTCGCCAATGTGGTACAAAATGTGGAGATCAAGTGCATGGACATGTACTCATCCACACATGCAAAGCCGCTTCAAAATGTACTCCGTGCAGGAGCAGCGGAAGAACCTTTCCAGCCTCATAATGGCAGCAGTAGCAGACACAGCTCTCGCACTAACCGCCCCAGTAATAGCGTCAAATCCCCGGCACCTGCGGCTAATCCCATGCCAATGCCTTCTGATCCCCGTCAATACGTGTTCAACGTGCTTCTACAGCTGATTACGCTGCGCAGTGAAGTCGAAATGAGCGTTGGCGAATACCCCCAATGCTGGGACTACATACGCAGTGTGACGGACCCACTAACCGCGGCATTAGCCGATTTTCTCCAGACCTCGATAGGAAACCTGGAGGGTAATAGCAGTTTGCCCCTGGATGAGTGGAAGCTCTGTCATGTAAGTATTGAGTGTAGAATTCCACAGATCTGGCATACTGATAATTACGCTCGTGGTGTTTGGGCTCTGCAGCTAACCGTCGAAGTACGATTCTTCCAGTTGGCACTTGGTGATCTCATGGCGGAAGGTACTAAAACTCAGTTGGAGGAAATGGAGAAGCAGCTTGTGCAGATCAAGTCTGGAGACCAAGGGACGAACGCGGGCCACGTGACGCTACTGAATCAGATGAAGCACCAGAGCAAGTTATATCTTCTCGCACTGCAGCAGTAATTTGTGGAGCTCTTGGCCTCGTGGTCACCGCACTCCATTTGCGTACATCGAAGCAAGTTGTACGCGTCGATAGAAAATACCTCCTTATCTGTAATATGGATACTCCAAACCCATAGTTATCATGTGATAACTACACGTTACTTGTCCTGTTCGGTCCTGCACGTGAGCATCACCGTGAGCTTGTGCGCTAGCGGCTTGCGCACCTGTGCCGAAGTCGGGAACTGCAGCAAAGCATGCAGCTTCAACGAGAACAGGAGTGATGGTCGAGGTGTTTTTAACGAGCTGTACTGTAATTGGTCGGATCAGAAAGGATTTTCGAGATAGTTAGGGCTAGGTGTCTTAGATTAAGCTCAATCCTCCTATTTCGATACAAACAGTGACTTCAGTAGGAGGGGCGACATCGATCAGGCTGAAGAAGCTTTTCCCCGGTGCGGCCAACATCACTCGACATTTCACTTGAGGCGGAACAGAATCCGAAGGATCATGCACGTGTCGAGGATCTTGCTTCTCATCGTGGCGTTGGCTACACCCGCCGCCGTACACGCGCGCGCCATGGACGTAGATGAATGGCCGTCGACAGAGGTGCCAGCGCCTTGTCATGTGTTAATATCTGCTGCATCTAACGTTCGCAATGGGTTTGTTTCTTCCGTTCTAGAGTGATCACACAAAACTACAGGTTGTGCTTCCCGAGAAACTAATGAAGAAGGACGGATATGCGCACAAGGACGCGTTGTTCGGCTACCCTGCGTATTCAATGGGCTCGCTTCAAACGCAACTGGTGTACACTAAAGAGTCCGGCTGCGAGGAGATCAAGAACGACGCCTGGGAGCCGCCTTTTGCTCTCATGCTGGACCGTGGAGACTGCCATTTTGTAGAGAAAGTGCGTCGTGCTCAACACGCCGGCGCACGTGCCGTGCTCATCGCAGACAACAAGTGTCTGTGTACCGACGTGGAATGTTTGCGTGAGACCGGCGATGATTTCTGCGAAACAGTGCTTCCCTTCATGGCGGATGACGAGTCGGGTGGAGATATCTCGATCCCCAGTATGTTGATCCGGAAGAGCGACGGTGATGCTATCAAGCGCGAGATCGCACAGAGCAAGGGAGTCAGCAACGTTATGGTCAAGTTTGACTGGGGTATTCCTTCTCCTGATGGCCGTGTGGAGTGGACGCTGTGGCAAAGCGCTTGGGATGACCAGTCGTTGTCAACGGTAGCCAATCTGGAGGCGATGGTTATTGCGTTGGGTGACCGTGCCTTCTTCACGCCGCACTTCGTGTCCTACAACGGCACTAAAGTAGGCTGCCACGACGATAGCGACCCCAGCACATCAGCTTGTGGCAACATGTGTCTGAACAACGGTCGCTACTGTCTACTGGACCCTTCACCTTTCCATGACCGTTCAACTGGCGCATCAGGAGCTGACGTGGTGCTGGAGAACTTGCGTCGCAAGTGTATCTGGAAATTGGAGAGCAAGACGGACCCGGGTGTTGGGTTGAAGTGGTGGAAGTATGTAAAGGCATCCGGTGAAGCTTGCGGAAAGGATGAGAACATGTTCCGTGAGCGATCATGTGCTGATAAGGTTATGAAGAAGCTGGGTATCGACATCAAGGCCGTCGAGGAGTGCATGCAGCCCTATGGTGTTAATGTGGACGAAGTGAACCCATTGCTTGAGGAGGAACTCAAGGAACAGACGGCTCTTCAGCTTCTGCGGCTACCAGCGCTGTACGTGGATGGAGTTCACGCTCGTGGTCGCGTGGATCCCACTAGTATTTTGGGAATGGTATGCGCCGGATACGGTGTTCACGACCCGCCTGAAGTCTGCTCATGTGCTAGCCAGTCGTCAGTGGGTCTGTTGGACTGTGTTAAGGTGGGAAGTCTCGCGAATGCTGCAGCAATTACGGGCAACGGCGGCTACTCCTTCACGTCGCTTGTGGTTGTGCTACTTGCATTCGTGGGCATCGTGGCTGCGGGTGGCTTTGTGTACTGGCGCCGTACTCAGCGCCACATGCGTGACCAGGTGCGCAGCATTTTGGCCGAGTACATGCCGCTTGAGGATCAGACTATGGACGATGAATATGATTTGGAAGATGAGAGATCACGAATGCTGCATCCGGCAGAACGTGCTGCTGCTAAGAGTCCCCGCGGCTACATGCCTTCGCGCGGCTTTCTAGAGGAAGACGAAGAGGAGGGCATGTAGATATGCATTCAGCCAGAGAACGTTGCAGGGCATGCTTTGCTGTCTACCGTTCATTGATCCTTCTGTCCGGGAAATTTATCAGCAAAAGAAAAAGAGAGAAGACAAGAATTAGCGTGGAAAGAACACGGTGTTTTGCGGATACAACAGGTAGTATCAGTAGCTTTGGTCGCTTTTCATGCCTGAATTCGTTTGCGTGTCATACATTGTCTTACTTCGTTCTAGAAGGAGTGTATCGGTACATGAACTACTGTTCCCAAGTACTACATGTAGTAGTAATGTACTATGTAGTAGTAGTAAGATGAATACTTTACTGTAATAAATGTAAAACATGATTACTTTCATCAACATTTCTCAACTCTACTACATTTTGTTTAACGTCAACTACTACTAGCTGCTTGTTTTTAGTATTATCAGCGATTGTTGAACTAGAGTACTAGTACTATACTACATGTACTATTGCTTACTAAATATATGCAAAAGAAAAGGCAAAAAACTAAGAGGACACAATATTGCGAAAAAAAGCGCACTCAGAAAACCTAAAATTATTAATTATTTTCTCATAACACATTTTAAAATACTGAATTGCTCATTTTTTCATTATTTCTTGAACGTTATGTATTAAGTAGTATTAATACTAGTAGTATTCAAAGAGATCATTATACCGACACTGTGTCAAGCATGGAGCGGCTATTGTCGGCAGTGTACGCTCGTGAACCGCATGTGAAGGTGGTGGCGGCAGTGACAGGCGGTGGTGTCTCCATTGCCGAAAGTCTCTTCCGACCTGGTAGCTCCTCCACCATGTTGCACTTCGCCGTTCCCTACTCACGCGCTAGTCTGCAGTCGTTCCTGAGCTCGGTGCCCTCAACGTCCTCCAAGCTTAAGTTCTGTTCAGCAGATACATCAGAGCGCATGGCATTGGCTGCATGGAAACGAGCGAGCGATATTACTAGGAGCGAAGCTGAGGAGGACGACGCACAAGCCGCAGCAGCACTGCCCAATGCCCTGAAACGATTCCGAGCGTCTTTGGGCATCGCATGCTCGGCTGGGCTGGCGACAAATTACCCAAAGAAAGGCCCTCACGAGTGCTTCTTGTCAGTGTGTCAAACTCGCTCGGTGTGTAAGACTAACGCGTTGCAGCAGCCAAAATGCGAAACGTACCACCTTCAGCTGGACAAATCGCTGGGGCGCTCGAGAACGGAAGAAGACCACATCGTTAGTCGCTGGCTGGTGTATCTCCTGGCCAAGGCTACAGATGTGGACTCGGAGGCTTGTGCCGCGTTCCACGATGAGCTTATGTCAACGCAGATTGGAAATGATGCTATCATCAAGTTGACATCAGATGAAGAACACAGCAATACAAACGACCCGCTGCATGACATCTGCAGTGGCCAATCGAATCAACTCGTGAGCGTTGCGTTCCTGCCTGAGCAGCTGGAAGATACTACCGACGGCACTGTTTCGATGGTTGCTACTCGAGGTTTTGGCTTCCGCGGACTTATCCTGCCTGGATCTTTTAATCCGCTTCACAAGGGTCATGTGGATTTGGCACTTGTTGCTCAACAACTGATGAAGGACCGAACTGGGGTGGAGCTGCCTGTGGCATTTGAGCTCGCAGTAGCTAACGCCGACAAAGGCGCGATCGAGTCGTCAACCATCTCGACACGAGTCGCGCAGTTCGCCGCTGGCAATGCCTCAGGACTCGGTGCGTGGCCCGTATTGGTCACGAATGCCACGCTTTTCGGTCAGAAAGCTGAGCTGCTACCTGGATGTGCTTTCGTTATTGGCGCTGACACGGCAATTCGCATTGTGGACAAGAAATACTACGACATGGACGAGCACAAAATGGTGCTGGCACTGGACCACATTGCCCGCAATGACTGCTCCTTCGTGGTAGCCGGTCGCGTCGACAACAAAGTGGAGAACCGCTTCATCAGTGCGGATGAGGTATTGGACAAGCACGTGCCGCCAGTATTCCGCCATATCTTCGTGCCTCTGCCCGAGTCCGCGTTCCGCAATGACATCTCTTCAACTGAGATTCGCCAGCAGATGGCTACAAAATAAATTTATATTATTGGTCAAAACAAATAAAAGATCGACAAAATTTGTACCAATAGTGTTCAACAGTTTCAACTAGCTTCCTCCCCCTCTTTCAGATACGGCAAAGATCACTAAGAAGCACAATGTCGAGACGCTACGACGGCCGCACGACCACCTTCTCCCCGGAAGGTGAGCTTGCATCGACTTGATAGATGTCTCCAGCTCTGTTATATGGTGCGACACTGCTTTGGTTGCTAACATTTTGCTCGTGAATGGTGGTGATTTGACTGCGGATCAGGCCGACTCTTCCAGGTGGAATACGCCATGGAGGCCATCAACAACGCCGGATCGGCCGTCGGAATCCTTGCCAAGGACGGCATCGTGATTGCAGGTCGGCATTTTAATCGCTTGCTTATCGCTCGCATTTAACACTGACGGAGTTGGCGCGATCTTTTTTTTCAGCTGAGAAGAAGACGGTGTCAAAGCTATTAACCCCCAGCAAGACAAGCGAGAAGACCATCAAGCTGGACGACCACCTCATTTGCGCCGTGGCCGGTCTGACGGCTGATGCTAATATCTTGGTCAACTACGCGCGTTTGTCGGCGCAGCGCTATGAACTTGCGTACCAAGAGAAGGAGCCGTGCGAGCAGCTCGTGCAGACGCTTTGTAACTACAAGCAGGCGTACACACAGTTCGGTGGTCAGCGTCCCTTCGGCGTGTCCTTCCTGTACGCTGGCTGGGACCGTCACCACGGCTTCCAGCTATACCACAGTGACCCGAGCGGAAACTACGGCGGCTGGAAGGCCACCGCCATCGGTGCCAACAACCGTGCAGCTAAGAGCATGCTCAAGAGCGACTACGAGGAGGGCATGACGGTGGAAGAGGCTCTGGCTTTCTCGGTCAAGGTTATGAACAAGACCATGGACTCCACCTCCCCCAGTGCAGAGAAGCTTGAGTTCACGACGGTCACGCGGAACGCGGACGGCAAGATTGTGCACCGCCAACTCACCGAGAGCGAGACGGATGAGCTGTTGAAGAAGGCGGCTGCAGACACGGCCTCATCGGGCGACATGTAATCCAAATGAGCGGTGATAAATGTGCACGGTGTCGTAGCTTTTGATCAGCAGACAAGTCTACAGCATTCGTGCTTTTACCAACTAATGGAAAAAGGATCAAAAACAGGGTTCCATTAGTTTCATCTAACTGCCGCCAGCGATGCCCGTTGATGCTTTGTCCGCTGCACTTGCTGCTGCCCCGGAAGCTTTGGCTGCAACCTTGTCTATTCCATCTTCAGCTTGGTGTCCAATCCGCGCAGCGCAGCTGGACATATCAGTTCCACAAATCATGAATGTCACGATAAGTGCAAGCACAGCTAAAGCCAACGTGACGTAGATCCAGTACTTGACATTCATCCACCAAAACGCATTCTTGAGCTTCTTTGCAGATTTTTCATACTTCAGCGCATCTTGTTGCAGCTTGTTCGTCCTCGTGACCAGCAGCTCGATCTTTTCTCCACGCTCCATCAACTGACAAGGTAAAAAGGCGTTAACTTAACGTGATCTACCTCCGTACACTTTTCAAGCGTCTGTACCTGGTTGACGTTCTCTATCATGAGCGTTTTGACACGCTCCATCTTCTGTCTCACTTGTGACATGGGCGTTTCTATTTTGTAGTTATCGTACTTCTTCATGAGCGAGTCGAGTGTCGGATTGAACGAGGTCATGGCATATGCCAGTGCTGTCTGCGCCTGTTGTTTGTATTTCGCTAGGAATATGGTCTGCATCTCCGCCAGCATCATGAACGCTACATTCGCGTGGACTCGCTCCTCTGCCATGCACATGTACGTGATGCCGTCATCGTACAGGAAGAAGAAGTTAAAGTCATTGTACGGGAACACGCTCTTGGATGCTGGGGCGGACGCACTGGGCTCGTGCTGGGCCAGGTTCTTAAGCACGGCACGCGTAACTGTGGGGAAGTTGCCGCTTTGATCCGTGTGCTCACACAGAACGCTCTGCTGCCGGGCCACCAATGTGTACACGATGGACATGCTGCTGCTGCTCGGTTATGGCGAGCCGGCTGGTCGCATGTATTGCTTGAAGTCGCTTTTGATGACCTTTCGAAGATCCAAAGTGTATCCATGTCTACTTCGGTATATTTGTCCAATGATATCATTCCATGCGACTGTTAGTCTAAGTCAAATTGTGATCACATGCGGAGATTGAGTATCGGTGTGGAGGTGTTGCTGCTCGTGTTTACTGCGCTCTCAATGATGTTATGGGGGCCAGGCACCGTAGCGCAAAATTGGTGGCATTTCAGCTGCGAAGTCGCCGGTAGGATTGAAACAACAAACGCCGAGTACAGCTGATGGTGCTGTCGAAAACGATGACTGCACCTCGTTGAGTGGGCCATTCTGCGCACATACAGGCTCCATGACGCTTTACGCGTCCTACATGACGCCCATCTCTGTCCAGGATTTGCACCAAGAGGGCAACGAAGTGATCCGACGCAGCATGAAGCTCGACGAAAGCGTGTCCAAACGTCAGGGGAAAAGGTGCTTCTTTCAGCACTTCGCCACGAGCTGGATGGACAGCGGTGGTGATGCCTACGACCTCACGAATCAACAAGTGACGAGTGTGGACGATTGCGAGCTACTGTGTTGTGAGCACGCCGAGTGTCAGTCATTTACGTTCTGGCGCGGTCGCACTTGCTACCTGCGCGCCTCAAGCAACACCCCGCGGCCGAACGGCGACTCATTCTCTGGTATCCGATTGACCTAACGCTAAATGTTACAACGGAAATTTTGTCCCCATTTTTCGATTTTCTTAATGTGGGGAATGCGGAATCAAGTTTATGTTGAAGTTTGCAGGAGTGATTGTCATTCAAGAATCTGCCGTCATGGCAACAGGACAAGAAGCAATGGCGAAGACTACGCCGAGCATCATCACTCGAGAGGATGTAAGCATGCTCCTTTTCAGTGGATTCGTAACTATGCGCTGATTGGCACTGATCGACAGGTTTTGCTGCGAATTGAGGCGTTAGCTGCAGAGTTTTTAGAGACTTTATCGGTGGGGACATAAAAGATTGAAGTTACCGTGACTAATGTTTCTGTGGTGCAGACAGGAAAAGTTCTGGAGCTAGAGGCTGTAAGTTGTTAGCTTACGTGAAGTAGACATGATATTGTACTGACTCGGTATGAAGCTGAAGCGCCATTCGTCAGCGATGATTTACGATCACGAGAATCAACGGCAGACCCACGGAAACGAGACGCGCTTGGTCAAGCTGGTAGGATTTGAGTCCATCTGACCTTCGCTCTAGACTCTGCACTAATTGGACATATGCCAGAACCGACAAGGAGGCAGGAGATACACAGGGATTTGGCTGATCTTGCAGACAGCGCATGCTCTACTTGCAGAAAACAAGACAGCAACTCAGGTGTGCACAGAATTTTGCGACGCTTGCTGTTGTTGTTCTGCGCTTATATTATACCGGAATGTTTAGAGAGATGTTTATTACCTGCACCCATTTTTCAAGGGGCAAAACGAAGCGGACGAAGCAATTCTAGGTAGCTATGCAGACGCTGGACATGGCCGTACATGGTCCCCACTTTTATAATGATTTTTCGCTTCGACTGAAAGACGCTGGAAGTATCCTGGGCATTCCAAGAGGATCGATGAACATTGTCGCTGCAACCAAAGGCTGCTTCACGGGGGATATCAGTATTTTGGTGCGTATACACGTAATGACCGCGTAGGTATGCTACACGATTATGACTATTGCTGTGAGAAGCGAAACGGAAATTGGAGACAATTTGGAAGCGGGGAAGAAGTCTCTATTACTCATGAGCTTCTGCAAATAAAACCGCATGACATGTACGTCATTTATGTTGCAAACGCAAGCGAATTAATGGAAGAAGATTACCTCGTGCCATTATTGTTTAGGAGAAGCAATGCAACGTGCATCCTCGTAATAGAGAAGGACGGTCAGTCTACGTGAGATTATAAATGTTATCAGCTCGGAGATTCATTTGTTCGTTGTGTAGGGATTTTTAACCGCCTGAGGTAGCACATGGAACGCCAGTCTTTGGATTTGTCGAAAAGCATGAAATGATCGATATGATATTGTTCCAGAGAGGACAAGTTCTTCGAGACGGTTCCAAGCATTTTGATCACTGGTCGGGGATTCCCTGACCTGGCTACGAGGTACGCTTTAACGGCCAGATATGGTCATCATTAAACTATAGGAATGCACCTGACTTCGACATACTACGATCAGAGCGTTCGTGAACCTATTAAGCAATGCTTTAGGAATTCCAGTTCTTGGGCTTTGTGACTGCAACCCATTTGGCCTCTCCATTATGGTGAGACCAAATTCCACCACAATATGACCTACAACACTCGAGAGTTTTTAACACTTCTTTCGGCAGCTCACATACAAACTGGGATCAGCGCGAATGCCACTGGATTCGCTTCGATACGGTAAGCTGAAATTCATATTCATTTCAGTCTTTCTACATGTAGTTTGGTTGAATTTTATACCATGTGGTCAGCCGTCGACATTAAGTGGGTGGGCGTTCGACCATCTCAAGTCTCGCATTTGGGCTTGCCGACATCATCCTTTAAAGCTCTCACTCGAAAAGACCTAGCAGTGGCAGACTCCTTGATGCGAGCAAGCTTCATTCAGGTGCTAGACAATTACTAAAAAAATTCGATGAACTTTCACCTTACATTTTTGCGGCGACCAGGCAAACGCTTTTTTCAAGGATGAAGTCCAAATGTGGCTCGGTGATGCGCTACCGTGGAAGATCGAGCTTGAAGCTCTTTATTCTTCAGGGTTTACATTCTTGACTTCGTTTCTACAAGACTGCATCGAGAATGGCAATTATCTATAGACCCCAGAATGCGGTAAATGCAGAATTTCGAGCTCGCACCAACTGATGCGTTATAGGGGCACGCCAATATTCAGTGCACTGCTTGCAAAATCCACAAACACCACCCGAAGCCAGAAAAACATCATCACAGCTAGTAGAATTGATATCGGGAGCGCTGGAAGTGCTTTCTGGTAGATTCCGAGAAGAAAAAGCGTGCCTCCGAGACCCTACAAAAAAACCCATGCAGAACGCGTAAGCTCACGACGACCAATGACTGCAATCGACGAAGTACGTACCATCAGAACAGACACCAAGCACCCGATCATCGCCGAGAAGTCGTACTTGGCTGCTCGAGACACTAAGACGCTGTAGAAGACAAAATCTCCCAGTCCAAGCTTGATCGTTTCATCTACCTCTGCAAATCCCGATATCAATTAGCATGAAGCAAAACTCGGAGGAAAAGTCAATGCACAGCCATACCTCCTTGCTCAGTGACATACTTCTGGTATAAATCGTGCCACAGCTCGGTTTCTCGTCCGTGATATCGCTCCAATATCTTGTCTACACGTGCGATTGCCGATGGGTTGTGTTTCGAGTAGAAATCGACCAGTCGAGCACGTAATTGAGACTGACGAGGGGTCAACGCGGCATTTGTGGACGTCATTGGGGCTTCTGGTACGTCGCGTGGCGACCCAAGACGAAGAGGAATTTCCGACTCGCACTGGTAATACACGTATTCGTGCACAGGTTGAGCGGTGTGGCCCGAGTGATTGCGACGAATTTCTGCTTCGTAAAGCAATCCTAAACACACCGACACAGTCAGATAAAAAAAGCATGAGAAAACCCCACTTTCACAAACATACCAGGTAGTGGGCGTCCCTCTTGCTGCACGAGATTTACCAGCCACTTCAGCGGCCCACACGGTGTCAGCACCGCACACAAGTCATAGAACGCAAGAACGATCACCAATGCCCAAGTACTCCACTCTGGAAATTGCCCCAGTTGCCACGCCATGATGACGGATGTGGCGACCAAGTATGTCTGCGTCAACCACATGGGCGTTCCCTTTTGGTAGAAAATTGACAGCACGCCAACAACCGAGAAATTGAACATCACAAAGAGCAGCGTCAGGACATCAACGGGGATCTCGATCTTGGCGATGACGATGACCAGCATGTTGCCTCCCAGCATTCCCAGCAGCATCGCCGACGAAAACATCATGTATCCAATAAGGATCTGCAACAGTAACGCAGCAACATCAGAGTATTGTTCACGCTATCACCCTTTGCAAGAAAGGTATCTTACTCTGTCGAAGTTGAATTTGTAACAGCAGACAATTACAAATGTCGCCACAAGGAAAAACGACACGATGGCCAATGCATTTACAAGAGCATCCGTCATTTTCGTTCCAGTAGATGCACCTTTATCCTGCTCGGGTCCATAGATTAAGTACGCTCTACACCATGTCCACAAGGATCAGAATCACAATTTATTCCGCATCATTTGGAGGCTCCGTACTCTGCGAGTGCCTTGGCCGACGCCGGGTCCTCCACGTTAAGCGACACAAAACTGTAAGAGTATCAGTAAGTTTTACGTCAATGGGGGTGATGTGTTGAATGCAAACAGCCAAATGAGCTCGGACCTGGCAAGCAGCATTGTGACGGCAACTGGCCACACCACAGCGGAGAAAGAGCCGATCGAGTGCAGAAGCTCCTCGTGTGTGAAGGCGTCTCCGTTATCATAATCCTGTGACGCGTGACGCTGTCGAGCAGGCAGCAGACGCTCGCGCACGTCGGACTCGACTCCCGACATGGGAGTGCTGCAAATAAGACTGGGAAAGATCAGTTGCTATCGAAGAGAATATATGACATCAAAGAGTTTTGAAGTGGTGGCCGTCAAAAATGGTCACGATTGCAGAAATGAAAAGTGAAAGGGATTTTGTGGTGTATTTGACCACTTGTGGCCAGTTATTGTACTGTGGAGAGATGCCCCGACCCATTTCTTACCCGAAACTTCGGACAGCCGACGACGTAGTCAAGCTCATGCGGTAGGCTTGAAGTTAAAACAGATAACGACTCGTGAAAAGCAAGCGTATAACAGCCACGCTTGTGACTCGAGGTGCTGCCCGGTTGAGCTACCGATGCTCGTGTCGACGAAGCTCGATTGCTACAGGTCGCATGCGGAGTTACGCACTGTGAGGCACTGGGTGAAGTAAGTACAGTGAACGGATTAAGCCGCAGATTATTTGCGTGGGGGGAGGAAAATATGGTCAACTGGGTCTTGGAGAGTGTCAAGCAGCGTCGGAAATGACACTGATACCGGAGCTTGATGCAATTTTGCATGAGTCGGATGAGGATCACCCTGTAATCTTGCGCTGTGGTGCATTATCGACCTACCTGCTAGGTAAAGGATTATGTATACTGTGGCATTGGGGACTGCTTCCTTCAGCTGATGGAATTGTGCATCAGGGCACCCCAGTTAAATTTCCATTTATACATGAAAATACTCGTTTGGTTTATGTTGCTACAGGCGTGGAGCATGTTGCGTTTCTACCAGAAGACGATTGTGTTTTTACGTGGAGCTATGGCAACTGAGGGCAGCTTGGTCTTGGGCCGTCGATTACTTCAAACGTGGTCAACCAGCCTACTCCAGTAGATTTTTTTGCCAAGAAGATAATAACCGCATTGTCTTGATCTCGTGTGGTTATAACCACAGCTTAGCAATGTCGCGAGGGGGAGTAACATTTATGGGGCGCGCGGAGCTAAGAGCTGCTCTTAGAGCATGTTTTGTGAATATTTTCATCCTGTACATGTGGAAATACCTACCAGATCTACATTGGACTCCCTAATACCACCGACTAGAGGCGCAATCTCAGCGAAATCCTTCCGAGTTGGGCTGTGTTACTGTCGTCCAAAGTTTCAGGGAAGCCATCGCCGAAAAGTCTTGACGCGGCATTGATCGACAATGAGGGCCGTGTAAATGCTGTTGCTGTTGGTGTGCAAAATCCCTTCGACTTTCTTGGGAATGAAACCCTTACACATCAACCGAAGTGAGAGATGCATTGATGCCTGTCAATCCCAACATTATGGGGTCCACGACACTAGCGTATCATGGAAGCGACTGAATGGTGATCTATTCTACACGGTTCAGTCAAACGACTTACAGGTCCAACGTTATGGCAACTGAAGCCACAAGAAGACCGCCCAAAGTGGACGTGTTGCACGACTTAAGTGTCAACTAAGCGATTTTCTACTCAGCCAACCAAGAGTTGACAGCAACCGAGGATCACAAAAACGTGAGTATTGATCGAGTCATCCACCTCCGTGAAATGGTTTTCACACGATAGCTTAAGGTTTCAATGACAAAGTCGCGGTACACAAACAAGAATGGCTTGCATTGTTTCGTGCAATTCCCCTGAGAGTGAAGGAACAACTGAAAGTTGCAATAGCAAACGGTCATCGACGACCTATGTGGAATTCTTCACGTCCAGCGAAGCTGTGCACAAATTATTTGCTGCTCAAGCAAAAGTCAGTACAAATTCCAAATTACGAGCTACTATCACGAACCGCGCTAATGACGCTGCAAAACTCCATGCGTCGGCAAATACACATCTTGCTCGTATTCAAAACCTGCCAATATCGCACCTCTTAAGGTAAGAAGTTACATTCTGAACATGCCTTGTGTAATTGATAAGCGGTTCCTTTCTGTGCTACAGAAAAGATATTTACTTCCGACCACCGCGAAAAGCTGCGTATCGCTGCGAAGACGATACCTCAACGCAAACAATGAGGACAGAAGAATCGTATTGACCCCATTACAGTCGCGCAGCAGCGTCCTTCTTGTGTCCGAGCAATCGGAGACGACTGATACCTCCATCCGGGAACATCTCGAGTTTGACGTAGTTGACGCCAGTAGGAATGAGCTTGACGTTGTTCTCTGCAACTGAAAAGTGCTGTTGCTTGTGAGCTTGTAGTTTCACACGGGGTAACACGATCTCCCACTTGACATCCCCATCTTTCAGTAGTTTATCCTCACTACCATGGAATCGAGTACCGTAAATCACACAACTCTCGGGGAAGTTGCCTTTGAAATGGTTCGTGTCCACTTCAACTTGTTGGATCACTCCTAGATGCCCGAGTTTGAGCACCACCCAGTCCTTGCCGGGTACTTCCAGCAGTCCAGTTGCCGGGTCTGCCTTCAAAACGGAAGGACGCGTGGGCTTGCGGGCTGTCTCCCAGCCGTCTGCCATCGTCTTGCTGCGTCCTGGGGCCATCAAATTGCGCGGATGGCCATAATGAGCGTCATTAAAGCCAACAACCTTCCCTCCATGCGCAACGCTCACAAGATCCATCATCTTGGAGCTCGACACGCGCGTCCAGTCCATCTCAACCTCTCCATACACACGCAGGCGTGCGATGCCTCCGTCTGGGAACATATTGACTCGGAGGTGCGTCCACGGACCTCTCTTGGACGGCGGCACTCGGAGTAAGTTGTGGCGGGTATCCGCATATCCAGGTCCGAGCTTCGTGGGCGGCACAATCTCCGTCCACTTGTCGGACTGAAGCTGCTCCACCAGCTTGTATTCTTCGTGTGTGGCGCACACGCCCATAGCGCGATCGTCTACGGCTTTGGCTGTGAGGATCTTTAGTGCGTCGCTGCTCTGAGAGAAGTCGGCCGCCTGGATGGACACACGCGGCGCGTTGTTGCCCGTGAAGAAGGCGGTATCCACGTCCACGATGTCCACGGCGCCGCGCAGGCCCAGCGCCAACACGCACCAGTCGTGGCCAGGAATACGCTTGCGTCGTGTCTCCCATCCGTCCATCCATTTACCAAAGTCGGTGAATTTGTCGGCGATGAAGACCGGAGGATCGGGAACCAGCAGCTGACTCGCGGGCGCGAACCATTCGTCGGTTGCGAATAGTATGCGAGACCCAAAGGAGGCACTGGCTAAGTCGGTCATGTTCTCGACTTCGTTTGGCGTTGGCAGCGTCATTGGCGCCGACCAGTGTGCAGGATTAGGAAGATCGGGGAATGAAAGGGCGGGAATGCTGAGCTGCAACCGACAATGATACCATTCGCATTCAGATCTGCTGGAGATGGGGACACTGACAGCAATGACGTGGCACAATGTGCAGCGCGAACTCAATGCTACGGTTTCTATTGAGCTTTTCAGATAGATGGCGTCTACTCTGGTTAGTTTGACGGAGGCACTAGCGCTTGCAACAGTCTCTGCAATTTGTTCTTTCTTCTACAAATCCGACGACATGTAATGCAGACAAGTCTCTTCGGAAATCGTGTCCGCAATATTGCCTAGAAGGTGAAGCAGATACCGGTACTGTATTTGTGTTGATATATTGAAAGGCAAGCGATCCGCGAGATCACAATCTCGTCTGGTGCTGATTGCACACGATTGAAGATAACGTTACCACGTCATCGATGGCGTTGCAATAGCGCCATCGCTATTTATCGCTGCGTTGACGCATTTGGGCTACGAATTGCTATCGACGTGAACTGCCATCGAGCGCTAAGCTCCGGTCTACTAAAATACAAAACTGGTACAGTATTACAGGTCGATCACCGGGGCAGAGAGTTACCCTTCTCTTGCTCCTCCTAAGTCGGCTCGCTTCAACTTGTAACACGATCCTGGCATAGAGAGGCGCCAAGATCTGAGATTTAGTATGACATTTTGTATGCTTCTCAGCGCGGGAAAACCTTGTCGTCATGGAAAAGGCGCCAAATCGACCGAGCTTGCATTAGAGGTTGCCACCGCCGAACTATAGACCATAACAATGCTCGTTTACCATGCACGCGACGATGCCGACTCCGAAAATGTCGCACCACCGAGTCCGCCCACTTCCCAACTGTCTTGGGCGCCGGAAAACGAGTGCAAAACGGAGAGCCTACCATACAGCATATAACACTATAAAGCAGGTTTATCACCGAAAAACCTCGTCTTTCAAAAAACCTCGTGAGAAAACCGCGAATTGTGTCCCTCCCTTTTTTTCTTTTGGCGCTCAAACCGACACAGAACAGCAGTCAGAGTAGCCGCAGGCGATGGAGATCACGGATGGCGCAGTCGCCACCAGGCGGCCGCTCAAGGACACACCCCGCCACCAGCTCACACGGGGCCTCATGCGCACACTGAACGTCATCAACGTGGTGCGTGGCATGCAATTAAAGCGCAGCGTCCTGCGTCAGAGCCAAACGAACAGCGACCTAACTGACCGCTCTCTCTTGCAGAACTACTACCGGAAACACAACCCCAAACCCACAGGTGTGCTGGCCAAGAAGAAGAAAAAGGTGCCGGCCAACTACATCTTCTCCGAGGCTGGCGAGGAGACGTTCAACAACGGCCGCTACGTTGTGCGTGGTCGGAAACTTGGCGCGGTAAGTCTCCAAAAGACACGCTATACAGGGAGCAACAGACACACAGGAAACTAACCTGTTGATGTATGTGTAGGGTTCGTTCGGTCAGGTAGTGGAGGCTCAGGACTTGTTGACCAAGCAGCTTGTGGCCATAAAGGTTGTACAGAAGAAGCAGCAGTACACAGAGCAAGCCCAGACCGAGATCAGCATCCTGCAGCTGCTACATTTGCCGCAGCAACACGACGCCACCAACCACATCGGTAGGTGCTTCTTTTTCTTCATCCTTCTTGTGCTCTCTTAGAGCCAGCGAACTTTCTATTCTCGGTCCGAAACAACCCAAAAGTCGCGAGTTGCTAACCGTTGTGTTGATGGCTTCTTCGTTTCTTCCCGCAGTGAGACTGACGGATACGTTCATGCACCAAGGACATCAGTGTTTGGTGTTTGATCGTCTTGGACCAAACCTCTTTGACGTCCTTAGAGGGACAAATTTTTTCGGAATCAGTTTGAAGCTGCTGAGGAAATTTACGCGGCAAATTCTCAAGGCACTTGAGTACATGCGGCATCCGAATGTCAATGTGATTCATTGCGACTTGAAGCCCGAGAATATTCTACTGGTTTCACACGGCCATAGCTCCTTGAAGCTCATCGACTTTGGCAGCTCGTGTCTTTCTCGCAATCAGGTGCGCAACTTTTAGATGTTTTGGGATAATTTTAGAGTAATTATTAATCTTTTTCTGGGGGTTATGTGCAGATTCACCGCTACACGCAGAGTCGCTTCTATCGCGCCCCGGAAGTGCTACTGGGCATGCGATATACAGCAGCGATTGATATGTGGAGTCTTGGCTGCATTTTGGTGGAGATGCACACGGGTAAACCGCTATTTTGTGGCTATGACTCGGCGGACCAACTGCATCGAATCATCAACGTTTTGGGAATGCCGCCACGGGATCTGATCGCACGTGCCAATCCCAGTTATCGACGAGAATACTTCGATGAGATTGTGATGACTGAAGGCAATAATAAGTGGATTGACTATCGGCTCAAGGTGCACAAGGTTGTTCTACCCAAGGGAGTTGATGTGGTGAGTGGACTCGTGTGTTGTACTGGTAATACCGGTATGGTGGTAATAGTAACCGTTGCGTATTGCAGATTCCGGAGACTACCAAGACGTTAGCAGAGATCCTTGCAAGTGCCAACAAATATGGCACGTTAAACCACAGCCCAGAGCAGTATGGCGCGTTCCACGACCTCGTCATGCGCATGCTCGACTACAAGTACGTGGTGGAGAATTGAAATGTGATAATCGTTAAAATTAACATGACTCACCTGTGTCTTTTGAAGCCCCGACACGCGTATCACGCCGACTGAAGCGATGCAGCACCCGTTCTTGATGAGTATGCGGCAAATGCAGCCAGATGAAATGATGGAGGAGCCTGTAGCTCAGGGAAAGTTCAAGTACATGCGAGCTTCCACAATGCGCGATGTACACGGACGCAATGCAGAGACGCAGATGCCTCCGCTGAATCGGGCCAAGCAACGCCGCTTCCTCGACAAGTCACCACACGAGCGATGATCGGTTACTGTACTCTATACACAACGCTGGACAAAAGTCAGATGGCGGGTCGCAGCTAGCTCGTCCGACTTCAACGACGTTGCTGGCAGAGAGATCTCCTGATATGCCGAACCTCCTCACAGAGGCTATTGCTGAGGATGACCGTCAAGCTGGCAGCTACGCCCTGAGCTTCTTCAGTGAAGAGATGGTTGTCGCCGAGACATTCAAAGTCGTCTCGGTGCACTCATAGCCATAGCAAAGCCGATCCTGCTGTGCAGGAAATACGCTAAGTAAGGTCTCGTGCACTCCGGATGAAGGAGGACGCGAGCGTGGAATGCGTGCGCGACAGAACCCAACAGATTGATTGGACAAATGCGTTTAGCTGATGAAAGCAAATTCAACGAAGTGACATTGAAAACTTTTGAAGCTTGTTCATCTGTAAACCTGTTGTCATACACACCACGCAGACGAGCATATCAATGAAGACTTGACACAGTAGTGTGATGGTGTAAAAGCTTCCGACTGAAAGCCTCGGTGCCCATCGGACAGCGCTACCATCAGCGTCCTTTGGAGTTCGTGTTATGATCGCGGGCGTAAATTACTCCAACCTGTACTTGATCTCCTAGGTCACTGACTGAAAGCTGCTTAGTTCTCGCCCTGGCGCTTGAGGTAGTCCAGCAGCACGTTCAGAGCGTGGGTCTCCTCACCGAAGTCCGTGATAACGGCGCACGACGTGGACACGACCTTACGGGCCTCACCCAGAGCGTCGATCTTGCACAGACCGCACCACTCGCCGAGCTGCTTGCCCGACGGGACAAGAATGAGGTTCACGCCGTGCTCCTCGCACAGAGCGCGCACCAGTTTGCTGTAGCTGGGCTCGTCGCAGTCCTGGGCCAGGCAGCAGAGACGGGCACGACGCGAGTCCAGAGCCTTGGCGGCCTCGTGAAGGCCACGCTTCAGGCCATCGTGGATGAGAGCCTTCTTGAGAACCTCCTTGAGGGCGTCCATCTCTCCCAGCTCCTTGGGCACTTCAACCTCAGCCACAACTTCCTCAGCCGACATGATACTTGTAAACGGTGGAGTCCTCGGAAAGAAGCTTTTACGTAATGACCATCAACTGCCGCCCTACTGGAGCTCCTCGAGGCATTTGACTGGTTCAAACGCGTCGCTTGTAAGTTATGTCGGGAACACTATTTTCGGCAATCCGGATACCAATCCGAAAGAGATATTCCACTTTAGTGCCACGTCACTCATCTTTTTAACACACAGTCATTCTTGAAAATGAGAGGCTTGGGGTCAGTGGTGCGGGCGTTGCGGCGTTCTAAGACGCTGGCACGGCACCGTGAGGCTGCACTAGCTGCCCTGCAGATGCAGCCGCGTCGTTTTTACAGCTTCCGGCCAATGGATGCGTTGTATGAGGGACAGGACTACGCGCGTCAAGTGGAAAAGAAGTTTAGTGAGCTGTCGGGCAAAATCCCGTGGGAGCCTGATATTAAGTATCTGGAGGGAATCAAAAGCCACTGGCAAGGACCAGAACCTACACTGAACGAACTGGTGCGCGAGGATGTCCCAACAGCTCGTAGTTTGTTCCGCAACGTGCTGCAGCGTCGCTATCCAAAGGATATGGGGATGTGGAACAAGTGGGGCGTCATGGTACGAAGACAGGATGCATGGAATGCAGTATATAACCGAAACTCTAACAGTTTAGTCAATTATAACAGGAATGGAAGGCTGGTAATTACGGACTGGCGCGTATGATCTTCTCTAAGGCATCTCGGATCTCATTCGATGCTGAAGTATGGACATCATGGGGCTCAATGGAGTTGGAGACGAAGAATTTGCAGGAAGCCAAGCGCATTTTCAAGGTCATTTTAGCAACAGATCCTCAGAACCCGATGGCAGGACTGGGTATGGCGCTGTGGGAGGTTCAAGCTGGCCATCCAGACGAAGCTCGCGAAAGGTTCCAAGAGCTTCTAGAAGAACATCCAAAAGACATACTGATCATGCAAGCTTACGGAGTCTTCGAAGCCAAGTGCCAGCATGTTGGATTGGCGCGTAGTATCTTCCAGAATGCTGTCTCACACCCTCGAGCGACAGGTCAAGTCTGGCACGCTTGGGCCAAAGCAGAATATGATGCCGGATTGTACAAGAATGCGCTGGCAGTCATCTCTACTGCTTTTGAGCGTTTCCCGACTCACAAGTGGCTTGTTCTCCTGGGTGCTATGGCTCACTTTAAGCTTGGCGACGTGTACGAAGCCCGACGGGCGTACCGTCGACTCATTGATGGTGGACTGTACGTGGAGCCATCAGCTTTCAACTCGTATGCCAAAATGGAGGAAGAATTGGGCAACGAAGATGCAGCTGTGGGGTTGTACGTAGAGGCGTTGGAACAACATCCTGATCACGTTCCCAGTATGATGTCACTTGCCATCTTGTATAAAAGACGCGGTCGTATGCGTAATGCACGGAAGATCTTTGAGAAGGCACTTGAAAACCTGCAACATACTGGCCCCATACTACACGCTTTTGGAGATTTCGAGGAGCAACATGGAGAACTGGACAATGCACGAGAACTTTACGACGAGGCCACGAACGTACAGCCCACAACGGTTGAATCTTGGCGTGCTCTGGCACGTGTTGAAGCCAGACTGAAGAACTACGAGGCGGCGCGGTCGGCATTAACGATGGCGAGCCAACATGTACCTAACGACGCACCGCTACTCGTTGAACTTGCAAAAATTGAGCAGCGGAATCGTCGGTTCCCAGCAGCTCGTACGGCATTGGAGAAGGCGCTGAAGATTGACTCGTCGGATGCTGCTGTGTGGAATATGCGTGCCCTGTTGGAGTTGCCATTGGACGCGGAACGTGCCAAAACTATCGTTGAGCATGCGCTGTCGGTGATTCCGGAGTATGAGAAAACGAGTTGGAGCATTCTCATGTGCACGTATGGTCGCACATTTGCAGCTTTGGGAGACTTCCAACAGGCTGTTGCAGCATTTCAACGTTCATTTAAGCTAAGACCGAAGAACTGGGAGACACATTTGATCTATGCTGACAGTGTTCTGACGCCGAATGAGGCGTGGAGCGAAGCTGTGAAGCATCTCACAGCTGCGCGCAAGTTACTCCCGCGAGCTGATAGACGTCGCGGTAATGTGGAACGCAAACTTCGCGCTGCTGAGGCTATGGCGAAAGCAGAGCAGTACAAACACGTCGAACAAGACGAACATCATGAGGAAGACGGCTCATGAGTAATAGTAACAAACAACAAGGGGAAGAAATGTTTACGACTGATATAACCTGAAAATATTACCTACCAACGGTAGTGTAATACGCGTCATGACCCACACGAAGAGGGTTTCCATACTATGCTCCTCTTGGTCACAGAACTATGCAAATGCACAGTCTTTCAAAATCTGCTTGCAGGTTTCCTCGAATCTTTCAGGTGCAGTCAGCAAAACTCATGTTGTACTGCTGCAGTCTTCTCTCAGTAGCACCACACTATGTGGTGGCTGTGAGATGAATGATAATCGAGCATGATGAAGTAGGCGATAAGTGTTGGACGACAATCGTCTGAAAATCTGGTACTAGGTCTCACAGTGCTTTCATGTTTTACTGAAACAGATCAATGTCACCAGCACTACTTCCGGCGAGGAGGGCAAGTCTGGAGTTTAGTGATTCTACGCTCGACGGACTGAACTCCGCACAAAGGCAGCTCGTGCTTTTTCCATAGAGCTGGTAGCTTTCCAATACACCACGTTTGTCTGCAGTACGATAGATCACAACGCGTCCGGTAGCATCTCCTGATGCCCATAGCGAACCATCACTAGAAAAGCTACATTGGATCTTGTAGCCTTCAACTTCATGACCTCCAGAGAATTGAAGTGGAGGACGATGTCCGCTAATGCTGCGACCTTTTACACGTTTGTATGGTGCGCGAGTCGAATAGAGAGACGCGTAGTTGCCAACGCACTGCGCTACGAAGTAGTGTTTGTTGGGATGTGCTCGTAAGCACGTATGAGCTAACATGTTATCGTCCAGGCGATCATACAGCAATGTGGCAGAGCGTAAATCCCATACTAGCAGAGTCTGGTTGCTGGCATCACGCCGCGTAACGCCAGCACTTGATACAAAACACTGGCCATCGTCACCGAGAAAAAGAAGATCGTGAACGTCACCAAAAGATTTTGTAAATGTAGCCACGGGGTACTGTGGGGTCTTTTCACGAAGGTCGTGAGAGTAGATACGACCCGTATCGGTACCAAGCAGTAGCGAATTCGGTTCTGTTGGGTGGAAGTGGACTGTAGTTATGCGCTCGATGCTGGTGGAAACTGTACCGACATCAGGTCGTCGTAACACGGTCTGGGTTTGACCCGTTTCAGCGTCTATATAGCAGCACCATCCATCATACCCACCCGTAAGTATGTGTCTACCATCCAAAGACCACTTTGCGCTCTTCACACCGAGTGAATGGTGAGTCAGCACGCGTTGGCATTTGTCCTTGTCTCCAGCAAAGGTTTTCCAGACGCGGACGGTAGCATCCATTGATGCCGACAGGAACAGCTGTGGATACGTTGGATGCCATTGCAGCTCGTTAATTGCCTTGCTGTGGCCGATAAATCGAAGTCGATTCTGTCTTCGCAACGGAAGCATCTTCTCAAGCTTCGAGTCGGAGGTTGACATGATCGGGATCTCTTCGTCGTCCTCGAACAATCGCGAATCGCTTGAGATGCTTCCAGCACTCTTTACTGTTGTACTACTGATAGACTGTGGACTATTCACTTTACTTTGGCGATCCCGTCTCCGCCGCTTAGCTGCATATCCGCGAAACGCAAATGTATCTTCTTCTCTCGTGGAACGATGCGCAAATAATCGACTCTGGCAAGCAAGACGCTGGGCAACCAGCAATCTCTTCACTATAGCATCTGATGCAGTTTGAGGCAAAGCGCCAGATAGAGAAGATAGTGCTGGTGCTGAGTCACAGCGCGGTGAAGAAGGTGGTGACGGAGAGGAGGCGTACTCGAGGATCGAATCCATACCAGCAATTGTTGTTAAAAAGAGAGGCCTCTTCCTCCAATCACGTCTCGTTGTTTCTCATTTTCTAGCCAATCACCACCCTCTTCAGCTGAAACGGCGGAACAATCTGAGCACAGCAGACTCGACGTCATGCCTTCCGATCGAAAGACTACCGAGCCACCGCGCGTATACGCGGTGGGAGACTTCAGTTGGATGGAGGACGAGCGCTATGGCGGCAAGAAGTCGCTGTGGAAGCGTGTAAAGGAAGATCCGCTTGTGCCGCTAGGCTGTGCCCTGACCACAGCTGTGCTGCTTGGTGGCTTGGTAACATTCCAGCGCGGACAGTCCAAACTGGGCAACAAGTTCATGCAGGCGCGCGTCGTGGCACAGACAGCAACTCTTATCGCGCTTGCGGGAGGCGCTGCAATGGCTGCTGGGGAGAAGCAGGAGAAAAAGAAACAGAGCTACGAGGACCGCATGGAGATCAAGCTCCGAGATGAATAAATGCAACAGAGCTGCAAGCTGCATTAGCAAGAAGGAGTGTGTCCATTTTGCAATTGTAGTATGGCCGGAGCAACATGTTACTTCGAAGTACTACTGTAGTACAATGTATGTGTTAAACACTTTCTACCGCAACAAGAGGAAAGACAAACGAAAAGTGTATTCGAAGCCGCAGCATGCTTCGTGCAACACGCACTTATCTGCGTGTTGTTGGCGTAGTTACCAAGACGCTGTTCGACACACTTTATCAATAAAATGGGCTTACGACACTGACCTTCTCTTCTACTTTCATGGCTCGTCGATAAGAAGTCAGTGTCACTTCACTTGAACGTATTGAAGTCGCGAACCTCGTTCACGATCTCTAATGCGCGTTGCAGTAGCGTCCGCATCTCATCACAGTTCGAGCGTCGCGCCGCAATGTCCCCAGTCTCCGCCAGCAACTCGTTCAGCTTGTCCTCACGGTACAAAGATGACACCAGCTCGTTCTGAATATTCTCCTTCGAGTGACCCACCATGAAGCACATAATGGCTTTCGGCACCAAATCCAGGAAGTTCTTCCGAACAATGTCAAAGTAAGACGCAAGCAGACTCTTGATAATTTCCGTCTCGATGCGTTCTCGGTCTGTGGGGTCATCGCCTTGCCGCATGCTCACAGGCACCTGAGGGAGCTTTACAACTGCAGGCTTTGAGCTCGTGGCAGCATCTCCGCTTTTCTTACGCCCACCTCCAAAGAAAGACAGGAGACCGTTACCGTCCTGTTTCTCCTCCGCTGATCCAGCATGTCCCGCAGGAGCCGCGTTCTGCTTTGGTGCTTGTCCTGCACGTCGAGGATCCTGGTTAATCATATTGTTGCTAGGAGCTCCAGCCGACGCCATCGTCTCGCGCTGCATCTTCTCCATCAATTGCGCCACTGCACGACTGCCTCCAATAAAGTCTGGGTGATTTGTATTCACATAGGCCAGCTCAATCTGAATGAGGTTCTGAATCATAGCCTGTGTGGGGATCAGCGACGCTCGCAGCATGCCATTGACCACTTCCATGACACGGTCACGAAGCTCGGGGAAGCGCGTCAGCTCGATCGTTTCACACTGCGACGTCACACGCTGTAGCTCGTCAAAGACCAGATCCACACACTGCAGGCCAGGCTGCTCCAAGCGACTAATCTGACGCTTCGCCAGCAATTCGAAAGATACCTCAGGGACAAACAGCGACTGTCGCGGACCGTTAGCGTTGCGAATGGTGGTGCGGATGTCTTCGTCACTGAGTCCGTCAAACGGGTTCACTTCACGCAGCGACTTGGAAAATATTTCGTTGAAAATGTAGTTGATACGTGCACCTCCGTAGAGTTCGTCCATCTCCACCAGTTGATGGTTGCGTCCATCCAAGGAATTGGTGAAGTTGCTCGAGAAATGGGACAGCAAACTAAGCAAACACCCGCCCATTTCAGTGGCCGTCATCTGTTCCGTGGGGGAGCCCATTTCGCCGAGTTCCTGGTCAAGATCGGAGATCATACTGCTGATTTTGGACTTGATTTCCGGTAGACAGTCGCGAATGTGGTGCATGAGAATGGTGTTGAGCGTCTTGGACAAATACTGCGTCCCCATCCTCGAGGCGATAGCTCGGTAGGCAGGATGGGTCTTGAAAAAGTTCTGTTCTTTGGCTAGAGAGTCGCGAATCGACAGTTGGGAGTTGATGTCCGCCTGACTGCGGTTCACGACGCCCACGTATCCTCTCTTAAGTGGGATGACGCGTCCTTGCAACATGTCCATGGCGTCGGTGCCATCGTCCATGAGATCCAGCTTCGTAAGCACACCAATGGTACGCTCTCCATTCGGGTCGATCTCTCGTGCCATCTTGAGTGCATCACTGTTAGCCAGGTCAGTATTAGCTGACGTGACGGCTAGGATGATGGAGTTCGGGTTCGAGATGAACTCAGTACACATGTCTCGGATCTGCTCCTCGATGTTAACGGGTTGATCTCCTACTGGCACCTTGGTGATACCAGGCAGATCCACAAGTGTGAGATTGAGTACGTAAGGAGAGAACACCTTGAGATTGATACTCTTGTTGCTGATGCCTTTGTTCTTGCCGGTGATACGGTCCGTTTCCTTCTCAATCTCGCGTCGGATCTCGTTGAAATCGGTGAATTTCTGTCCGGGTACGTGGAGGAACTCGCCCCATTCCTCAGCCGTCTCCTCCGCGCCCTCGACAGGGATAGTAGCTGACGAGTTGTAGAGCTGAAGCACGAGGGGACGACGCGTAACGATGCCCGATCCACGCGGCAAGAAATCTTTGCCCACAATGTTCTCAAGCACAGACGACTTGCCGCTACTCTGACTACCAATGACCACAATCTGCGGCAGATTGATAGGAGACTGTCCGATGGCGCTGAACACGTCCTGTAGCTTGTTGATAATGGGGATCAGCTGGTCCATGGTGACCTGACGTTGCTGTCTTCTTAGAGAATGCGGCGGTCTTTTCCTCTCTTCCGCACTGCTTTTTTGGCTCGCGAGTCTGATTTATGGCTAAAAACCTTGGAAGGTTTTTTACACTGCACTTTGGTGTGTCATACTTAAGCTCACGAATTAGTCACTCCAGAGGGGCTGTCAATAGTGCCCTTCAAGAACCTTCACCAGTCAAAAACGATGAACATCACCAACGAGCTGCAGTGGCGCGACCTGCATCTGCTGCACGTGCATCGTGACACGCTGCGCTGTGCGCTCACACGATGCGTCGCCTGCTGCTACAAGGTTGTGCTGCACAATCGCCCGGGTTTGATGCCTAACGTGAGACCGGAGATGTGCCCACGCATGGCATCAAAGGTGAATGAGCATGATGCTAAAGCTGATGGGCACAGCATCGGACTGTACGACGCAGCTCAAGTAAAGCGAATCTTGACGGTCGGCGATGGTAACTTTTCGTACTCGTTGGCGCTGGCCCGTGCGCTGGGTCCGGATTCGGGTGTGCAGCTTGTAACAACGTCGCACGAGAGCAAGAAGTCGGTGGTCGAGACGTACCCGGATGGAGAGAAGATCCTTGAGGAACTGAATGCAATGTCTAACGTGACAATTCAGCACGAGGTAGACGCTACGGATGCTAAGCAGATGAAGACGCTTGGCCAGTTTGACCGGGTTATCTGGAACTTCCCTTGCGTCCGAGCACCGCGTGGAGAGGACGGACAGAACGAGGAGATGGAAATCAACAAGAAGCTACTCAATGATTTCTTCGCCCATGTGGCGCAGATTCTGACACCTACAGGTGAAGTGCACGTGACACACAAAACCAAGAAGCCGTTCGGTCAATGGGGCATCGAAAGTATCGCCAAGGCCAACAAACTTCGTCACCATCAGTCTGTCGTCTTCGATCGCTGCTTGTACCCTGGATACTCGAATAAGAAGGTTCTTTCCAAGGGCTCGTTCCCGATCTGGGACTCGCTGACTTTCATCTTCGTGCCCGAAGACCGTGTGCAGCCCGAAGTTGACGCTGTCAATTCTGAAGACGCGGAGGAAAACACTCCGATTGAACCCGTTACAATGGATATCCTCAAGAAGATGTACCTGTTGCTGGCACCATCGCTTGATGATATGCTGGGCTCGAAGAAGAAGAAGAAAAAGGGATTCAGGGGTCTGAACAGCAGTCAAAAGGACGTTAGCATTAGCCTCAAGGGTAGCAAGGAAAAGAGCGGTGACAAAAGTAACAACATCCACAAGGGCAACAGCAAGCGAAAGCTGCCCGCGTCGGGCAACTTGAAGGTAGGAAAGCGGAAAAAAAGCCGCAGATCTTAATGACGACGTACTGTACTTGCGCTGTTTACTTCACGAATAGACTGTTAAGAACCATGCTCCAAAGTTTTTCTTCCTAGACGTAACTCCATTTTGCCATCTCCGCTTTTCTTCACGGGATCAGGAAGTCGTTTGTACTTTCGATATCGTTTCTGGATCCTCGTAGCTGCACGTTCCAATGTGTGAGCTCCGATCAAAACAAAAAGTCGATCACTGCTCAGAATTTCGAGTTCAGCCTTCGGTGTCGTGATAACGATGGGCAGTTCCACTTGGTGTGACGTTCCCATTGCTTGAGTTGACATGCGGTAGATGCCAATGCAAATGCCTGAGTACGACGAAGAGGCAAACGTGTGGAAAACATTGGCGTACGTGCAATCCTTATGAAAGCAAGGCAAAAAATGAAATGAGAAACTAGGACAAGGACCAGAGACATCAAACCAGGCCTTACTCTGAGCGATAGTGGAATCGAGAAAGTATGAATCACTCCGGTACAGCGAGGGCCCCCAACCAGTTGCCGGACAATCTTGTGAATTGAGGGGTTGAAGTATGTCTGCACAGCCATATTTTCACACAGCTCAGGGTGCAGGATCCGCCCCGACATGTACAGAGGGAGACCGAAGATCTCTTTCTCAGATTTCTGCTCCGGAGCTTCATGTTGTAGGATTTGGTCCCACAACTTGAACACTGCCATTCCCGACATTTCTGCTGCCATGCCGACTTTTACGCTGCTGCTTTCCGACATTACATGCTGAAGCTGGTTGAGCTGGAAGGACATACCCATGAATTTGGAGTTGACTTCATTGGCAAGCTCAGTAACAGTGAAGATCTTCGAGAAATCCATCTTGAGTTCCACCAGCATCGTAGCAAAAATGGCCTCTGCATCAGCTATACTGGACTCCAACTCTGCGTCCGCGGCAGATTCGGAGCTTATCGAGTTCTTTGTTCGCTTTCCAAGCACCACGACAGCAGCTGCAGCCTTGGCACCAGCACGCTGCAAATCCGAATAAACCAGGGGACTCCCGCGCACGTAATACTGAACCAAAAAAACGCCGATTATGTTAAACACTGTAGAGTCAATCCAGCCTATTAGACAATTTTCACATGCTTACCACATTTTTGAAGGCAGACAACGTTCTCATCAAGATTTCCGACGGCTCCGCGCTGTCCAAAATCGTAATTGGGGGATGGTTTACAGCGTATGGACTGCGAAGTGGAAGAATTAGCCATTGCAGGCTTTCCAACGAGTCTTCACCCAAGAAGCTGCAAATGACGATATGGTTTGGATGCAGTAGAATGTCGAGTGACGGAGTGGGGAGTGTCTTTGATACTGCTGAGTTCCGGGATGCATCTTCGCTGTGGAATGCAGCACGAAGTTGAGGATTGTCGTAGGGATTGCCGCTTGTAATGTTTTGGTTGGAGTTCTTGAAATTGAGAGCAATACTCTCGAGAGAACGATCCTGGATCATACAGAAGAATAAACACAGTTAGACTTCATGATTTAGTTGTGCCAATAGTAACTAGGCGCACCAGCACAAGAGACCCTGTCCTCGATGTTGCCAGCTACCCAGTGTCAGCAAGATAGCGTCAGTACATCAGTCCGTTCAACAAGCCCTGACAATTTATACGTACCGGACTACGGTGCTTCATTGAGTCGTAGTTTGGCGTCATGTACGCCGTGTATGCCGTCAAGCTTCGTAGTTCATCACACGGAAGATCGTCGTCGTTGTGGTCAGCTGAAAGAATAGGCTGGAAAACGTCTCCTTTGGGATTCATGAACGTAGACGTGCTACCTGGCCGCCGCATTTCTTCCAGACTGACCTCTTCGGGACAAATCTTATAGTTGAAAACGTGATCAAGGTCATCAGCGATGCAATAACACTGAATCCACTCTGTCATAAGCAAGCTTTCGCCCGGGTTTAGCAGCACTCGTGGCTCTGAACTGGTGTGAAAATTTGACTCGTCGTTGGAAAACATAACCTCCACGCCGATGAGTAGAACAGTGCCTGAGGTTTCTCGAAAAACCCGAGTGGCTGCTTGAGAAAACGTTAGGCCAGCGTATCTCTGGCATCAATAAAGTGAGCACAAGATTATTTAGCAACAGCAAGCACAATAGTCGTGACACGCTCGTACCTTCGACAGATGGATAAGATACATTTCCTTCGCTGCACCCGCGTAATACTCCTTGATCCAGCTGCGTTCAGACAGGTCCCTTTCAGCGACATCGGTTGTCAGAATGTCTGGGCCCATGGATTTGTCTTTGCTCATGACAGCGGGTCGCATTGTTGAGCATTCTTCCGTGGCTTCACTCGTGTCAACAGATAGACTCGATCCAAGGTTCGATAGCATCGTGGAGATGCCGTTGGAGACTGTATTTTGAGCCAACGACCCCATCTTGATGACATTTTCGCAGATAATATCGTCTGGATGCACGCCTGCAGCTAACATGTGTCGAGCACTCTCAGCACGTAGCACCAGCACCAAAAACCGGACAGAAGATCTACAGCCAAAACAAAGTCAGTTGGCATAGTGAACACTATGATGCCATAGCGACTTGTGACTCACCCCACGTAGCGTTTAGTAGCCAGAACACGCATAATATTCATCGCATCTTCGGTCGCAGCATCGCCTGTGAGCTTGTCTGGGAACACAAATACAGCTCTGGCATCTCGAGCTAAAGCTCGTTCCAGATCTTCTGAGCGGGTAGCATTGCCAGCAATGTAAGTCACACGGGACGTGAAAATAGGATCTGCCTTCAGCTTTGCGACGAGAGGCTTCGTAAACTTGGACTTATGTTCGCCTAGTACAACAGCTTCGAGCTGCTGTGTGTCGGTGTCACTTATGTGATCGACGTGAAAAAGCTCTCGCAATATAGCCGAGAGCTGAGCAAACGAGGGATTGCCGATAATGAGCACATGCTTGGAGTCTGGCTTGGGTGTGTAGGGCGGGTTTCCAATTTGACGCAACTTGTACAAACTAATGAGGTTATCAATCTCCATCGAGAACAGAATAATGCCCATAACGATGAACATGATGGCCAAAAGCCGGCTTGGTACTGTTTGCGGAGCGTTGTCGCCATAACCAACCGTACCAAGAGTCTGTAAAGGAAACCACAAATAAATCAGCAATGATATATGCATGTACACATCTGCATTTCAAGAGCACATACCACAACAGTGAAGTAGAAGGCGAACATGACGGACCAGGTTGAGTCGGAGCACTCGGAAGATTCGTGTCTCGTGACAGAGCCATCGCTGCAGCTATAGAGATGAGCGAAGCCGTTGCCAGTAAAGAACGGCATCTCGCCGAGCGTCTCGAAGAAAAACATGATGGACGCGCCAACCATGATCATCAGCAGGATCTTGATACCGAGGCGGACCATCATCCAGCCTTTTGTCGACCGAGGCACGTTCTTGTCCATCTCCAGGTAGCTTCTCAAGATAAACACTGGCCGCATGACCGAGAAGTCCAAGTATGTGCGCGTTCGTACGCCGCCAATAACTTTCACTGTGCCGAAGCCGACACCGAAGTTCGACGCCAGACATAGCAGTTCCAATAGCGTGAGAGGCGAGAAGCAGAAAAGAAGCTTGTATCGCGACGCGAGGAAACGCACCACGTCGTCTACAATGGCGACGATGTAGAGTCCTAGTACCGTATAATAGGACCATTCTGTGACGTCGTACGAGTTGAGTCTGGACATGGTGAGGCCCAAGATACCGAAGGACACGAGTAGTTGAACGGGCCGGTTCTGCATAAGGCACACCATGGTCAGATCAATTACTTATACATGTACAAATACTATTGTTCTCTTACGATGATAGCGGCGGTGCGAGACGTGCGAGCCCATCGGCGGCAATTGAGCGAGAAGCCGACCTCGCCTTTGCGAAGCGATTTTCGCTGGCGTCGAGAGGTGACCGTCCATAACAGCGAGATGAGCAGCAGTCCGGCCAACAGATAGGAGGCGTGGGTCACCTGCTCCTGCGTGTGAGCCCAATCAGCCACACAGCGCGGTGTGCTGGTGGTGAAGTTAGCCTCTTCGTTCTGGTTCACGCAGATCATCCCCATGGTCGAGCGAAGTGCGGAGTGACGAAATTGAGTGCGGGCAGTCGCGAGTGCGGGTTGCGGTAAAAGGCAAAAGCAGATGGGGCACGATTGTGGTGGTGTCTTCAAGACGTGAGTTGCAAAACACCATGTTCATTATGGCTACGTTTGTCTAAAGACGACAGCTACTTTCTTGCGTAGGCGCTGCACCGGCCATTGGTACATGCAGCGTTCACAGAGGCGTCTGTCCATACAGAAAGCGTTTCAACTGTCTGGTTTCGAGTCGTACAGGTATGCTCTAAATGGTTAACGCAGAGCAAGTCGCTCTGCGTAGCTCAGCACTACTTTAGTGCTCCGTAGTACTACAGAGGTAGTACTACTGAAGTACTTTTAAAGCAAATGGCAACAGCCTCAGCTCGAAGAGCAAAACTATCTGAACTACAAGTACTACTGCTAAAGTCGCCACGAACGGAGCAGACAACATTTGTCTGGAATTAAATGCCTCGATAACAATACCGCACAGCTCAGCGACCACTGAGACATCCTACAGCTTTAACAACTCAGTAGCTTGCGGAAGGTTGATTGAAAGTATAGCGTTGAGACAGGTCAAGTCGCAGACACAAGAGGGTCCGCGCTTGGTTAAAAGTCGCCATGATCGTGTCATTCGCTGTTTCGTCGTACGACTTCTGCTCGCCCAAGGTTAAGTTGGCGAGCATACTTTAATCCGACGAGGATACAAACTGAGGACATGCATAAACGCAATCTGCTTGGGAAGTGGAACCAATACTGCAATTATCGTCGTCACCTTAAAATTTGCTTGGCAAATTCTGGAGTGACAATTGAGAAGTGAAACAGCTCAGCGCCAGCCACTGATCTCAAGCATGTTATTCCACAGTATTTACGATTTCATTATGCGTTTTGATGTTTTTACATTTTACGAAAATGTGTCCACACTAACAACTCCAATTTTGATCTTATGTAAAAAAAATGGCGCCAACGGAAGCAGGAGTCAAGCGGACGGCGGAGGAGACCCAGACGTCCGCAGTGAAGCGCGTTCGCTTTGCGAACACGGCGTCTTCCAATGAAGTGACGTCACTTGCTATTGGTATGCATGAAATATATTAATGCTTTTGCAGTCCTTAAACTTAACTGCTTTTGTGGCGTAGCAACCGACGAAGTTGAAGCGCAGAAGCTCGAATGGTTTTCCCCAAAGTTCACATACCATGCATTTGGCGCCGATGAAGCAGTGGACGGCTACGAAGGTCTCAAGATGATGGTGACTTTCAATGGATTCGACTTTCGCGCGCTGTTGGATGTTAAGTTCAAGGAAAAGGAAGACACGTACGTGTTAATTTCTATCGTGGATTTTTTAAGGATATAAATACTGGTTGCTGATCTTCTGTCGCTGTGGAAACGTAGTGCGGGGGATGTTGTTGCAAAGTTGACATCGTCACTGCCCAAGGGATTCGTTCAAGATAAAGGCGAGTTTGTAGGTGCGCTGCGCAAGGCTGCAACGGACTTTACGGGTCCACCAGGGAAATGCATTGAATCGTATTGTTTGAAGAGTCAAATAGAAGATTTTGCAGAAGAGAGACACTTCGAGATCTACGAGTGCAAGCTAGAAGACAACGAACCTGCGCAGAAACTACTTGCAAATTTGCAAACTTTATCGCTATGGTTCATCGAAGGTGAGTATTTTTGCAGGATAGTACTTTGTTTATAAAGCTTTTTCTTACGCATGTAAAACAATGCTTTCCAGGTGCCGATGCTGTGGATGTTACGGACCCACGATGGCTGGCGTATCTAATCTACGAGCGGACTGAGGCGGGAGCCGGAGCTTTCCGTCCTGTGGGGTTTATTACAGTCTTCAAATTCTTCAATCCACTAGGACGGAAGGCGGCATACTGCAAGCCGGACCAGAACGAGACACACCGCATTTGTCAAGCCCTCATCTTTCCCACGTACCAGCGCCAAGGTGAATTTCTTGACCGTTTGTGCTGTTCGTCAATGAGTTTTTTTAAACTGACTGACATGTGATTACAGGCCATGCTGAGCGTCTGGTACAGTGCATCCATGCGCAAGCGGTGGCAAATGAACACGTATACGAACTCACTGTAGAGGACCCGGTCCCAGCGTTTGCTAGCGTACGTAATCAATATCTGCTGTTGTGCCTTTAGCTTACCATAATCTTATGCCTTCTTTGTAGCTACGCGACCTGGTCGATCTCAAGAACTGCATCAAGAACGAATTCTTCTCATTATCCCCGGAGGCGAGTGCGGATGCTGGCGGCACTGGACGTGGCACGGAAGCATTGACGACAGCAGACATCCACACTGTCCAGGAGAAGCTCAAAATCACACAAAAGCAGGTGCAGACCTGCTACGAGACGCGCAAGTTCGCGCTCGTGGACCCGAGCGACGAGGCGCAACTCAAGAAATTTCGGCTTGAGGTCAAGAAGCGGCTGTTTCGCTTGCATACTGAGGAGCTGGACGGCATGGGCGCCGACCGCCGCAAAGCTTTCCTCGAGGCCGAGTATCAGAAACTGGAAGAGCACTATCGGCAGATGGCGATAAAAAATGGGTTGATGAATATCAACCAATCGTAGAGTCGAATGACGTGTATAATCAACCAATAGAAGTTTGACATAGAATTTTGGAGGGGGAGATGCATCATGCCATTTGAGAACTTGTCTCGCCAAGATGAGCGGCAGTCTGGACCCGACGGTGCAGTATGAGCTGCTAGACCGTATCGGAGGAGGAGCCTTCGGAGATGTCTACAAGGGAGTGAACACCCACACGGACGAAGTGGTGGCCATTAAGATCATTGATTTGGAGTCTGCAGCCGATGAGATCGAGGACGTGCAGCAGGTGCGTCTCCAGGCTTTTCAATTGTGCGTGAACTACTCTGGTTACTAATATAACGCTTGCTAAATGATGAGTAGGAGATCCATGTGCTGTCACAATGTTCTTGCGATCAACTCACAATGTACTCAGGGTCTTTTATTGCAGGGACGAAACTATGGTCGGTGCATTGTTGTCCACTGAGTTGTGCCGATGATATTTAAGAGCTGACATTTTATTATAATTGATGCAGGATCATTATGGAGTTTCTATCGGGCGGATCGGTGTCGGATATTATGCGCAATGGTCCATTGGACGAGGCATTCATCGCTATTATCTTGCGTGAGCTATTGAAAGGACTCGAGTATCTGCACTCGGAAAAGAAAATCCACCGCGACGTCAAAGCTGCGAATGTATTACTGAGCGGAGATGGTCACGTCAAGCTGGCGGATTTTGGAGTTACCGGGCAAATCACAGAGACAATGACGAAGCGCAACACGGCAGTGGGGACTCCGTTTTGGATGGCGCCTGAGGTCATCCAAGAGTCCGAATATGACTTTAAAGCGGACATTTGGTCCTTAGGTATCACCGCGATCGAGATGGCGAAAGGTGTACCTCCGTTAGCTGAGTACGTGGATTGCTTGTTCGCAACATCGCGTTCTTATGCGTTTCACTGACATTTCTTTGTCATTTGTACAGCATCCATCCCATGAAAGTGCTGTTCATGATCCCGACGATGGACCCACCCGTGTTAGAAGGCAGTTTTTCGCCTCGATTCGTTGATTTTGTGTCGTGCTGTCTACAAAAGCCCCCACAAGACAGACCAACAGCGACCGAGCTACTGCAACACCCCTTCATCCGCTCCGCCAAGCATATATCTCATCTCACGGAGCTATTGGATCGGAATCAATTAGAAGATCAGCAGCAAGACGACCACGAGGACGGAGATTACCACAGCAAAGACTATAGCTACAACAATGGTCGTGTCGAGAACGGGTTCGTGCACAACAGCTATAACCCCCCTCTGAGCGGCGGTCGTGATGACACTCTGCCATCATACGGCCAGCGGGATAGCGGTAAGCGTCATGCTCGAGATGCATCAGTGGGCAGCGGATGGGATTTCAATACTATCCGTCTGTCATCTACCAGTCTGCAGCAGGAGCTGAAGGCTCAAGCAGAAGCGGCAGCGGCAGCTGCTGCATATAGCTGCAATGACGACCATGAAGCGCTTGGGGCGTCAATTGGCGAAGAGGAAGACTCGGTCGACGCTAACTCGAACGCCGAAACAATAACGACATCGGCATTGGCAGCACCAGTTCACGAACTTGAGTACGAGGACCAGGACGACGACGAAGACGAAGCATTCAATAGCGTTGTGAAGCCTGCGATCAGTGACGTACTGGAGCGTATTCTCAATCCTCCCACTATTGGGTTCATGTCGCCGACACATTGTGACGCTGCAGAGGCTGCTACCGAAGTGCAAGAAGATCTTCTCTTTGAGTTGCTGCACGTGTTTGACAACGTAAGTCAACAGAAAGGCCTACTCCGGCAAGTGCTGCGGAGTCTGGCAGACTACACAAACGCAATGATGCCTCCAGCCAACGCGAACGTAACAGGGAACTTGAGTTGATTAAAACCCCTGTACTACATTAAAAAAGAATTGATTTCGCCGCTCTGATGTACTGCGATGTTGATTCCTCTTCACTCACTGGATGAACTGACGGTGATCTACGATCGATCACCACTTTGCTGTAAGGCCTTGACGGAATGTTGCTCTCTATCGCGATCTAAAGAGCTTTGTTGCGCTCTTTTTTTTTTGCTCCAACGTGACCAATTACTTCCAAGCGCCTGATTTCGATTTGGTTGTTGACCGTGCTGACGACGACCGCGTTGAGCCAAGCGAACTCGGACGCTTGCTACTCAGAGGACTTTGATCTGCACTGGTGCCATTAGTCGACGTGCCGCTGGACTGCAAGCGTGATCCAGAAGACTTTCGTGTGACAGGACGCGTCTTCGTCACTCGACTACCCCCTGCACTCTGCACACCTGACGATGTACTTGCGCTATCTCCATCTTGCTGGTTGTTACCGGGTGTGCTGGCAGGTCGAGTGCTCTTTGACTTCTTCATCGGAGGCGATGACACCGGTAACCGAGGGATAAGTGAGGTAGTACTTCGTCGTCTGGCTTCGGTCAGCTGTTGACGTAGCTTCTTGATCTCTTCTTCGCGTTCGTGAAGCAACTTTTGTTGCGCCTCTTGCTGCGATGAAGACACGCGCGTCTTTGCATTCTGTTGTCGTAGCAATCGTTGAGCTGCTTCGCGTTGTTCCGCTTCTTTCTGCTTGGTCTCTCGCTCCGCCTTGAGCTGGTTACTCAGATCATCCACGAGCTTTTTCAGGGATTCGTTCTGAGTCTTTAGACTCTCATTCTGCGTCTCCCATGATCTAAGCCGGTTCTGCAACGTGGCCGACTGTTTTTCCGATTGGTTCTTCTGGTCGCGTTTCTATAGGAGAGGAGGCATCGGAACCGTGACGTGAGAACACATGCCTCCTCGAATAGAGAGCAGAGCCACAGCGACTTACCAGAGCGACCACAGATTGTTGCGATTGCATGTACTTCCTCTTGGAGATTTGCATCTGTTGCTTCAACGACTGCAGCTCTGCGAACGCCTTCTTGGCAGATAGTATGTCCTTCTTGTTCTTCACAATCTGGTTCCGACCCACCACAATATTGCGCACACGCTCCGCTAGCTGAAGCGACCGAAACGTCTCGCTCGCGTTCTCGATCGTCGGACCAACGTTCACAATCATCACTGTCTTGCACGACGAGTTTAGTACATCCTGTAGCAAATATGTGAGCTTCGAGTTACGGTACGGAACGTGCGCCATCTTCTTGTCCAGAGCCTCCATCACATCTGCCAGAGCCGAGAGAGACTTGTTGATATGAGCAGCTTCCCTGAGCATATCTCCGCTGACGTTGCTCTTCTTGACTCTCTCGGAGCCAGCAAGATCCACGAGATACAGCTTACCACATCCCTCTTCATCCACCTCAATATCGGCTGGATCCTTGTCAGCATCGTCACTTTCCGGTCGGCGTTTCGAGATCTGAACAATCACAATACTGTGCGATCGACTGCTGTGCATGTTCGAGTTCGTTTTCCCAGTAACACGGTTGGTTTGCGCGTTCCGAAGGACGTCGATCGTTTGCTGAGGGGAAGACACTGTCGCCATCGTCAGATCAGGAACGCAAATGTCTCCAGTGGCCGAATCGTGACGAATCTCCAGACCCTTCGAGTTGTTTGTGTTGATCAAGTCGCGTAATGAGTCGTTGTAGATCTCCAACACGCCCACTTGAACGTGGTACACTGAAGATTCCACTGTACCATGCAGACCGTTCATCTCATCGTCTTGATCCTTCTCGTGTTCAGGTTCAGGTGTGTAAATCGCTCCACGCAGTTGAACCGACTGGAAGAGATGACTGATGATCTTGTAGTTTAGACCAGGATCGCTGGGAGTTCCCTCCATAGTGTACGTTTTACCTGAGCCAGTTTGTCCATACGCGAAGATGCATGCCTTAAATCCATCCACAACTGACTGCGCGATGGGCTCCACTTCACGGAACACGTCGTTTTGAGTCTCTTCGGGGCCCAAAATGCGATCAAACGTGAACACTTTCCACGAACTGTTGTTAGCCAAGGCCTCCATATTCCCCTTGCTGCCATCCGGGTCATTAGAGAACGAACGATCCGGTCGGATGTCCATAGCCGCCAGGTCTGACTGATTCACAACGTTAACTGCCAGCTTGGAGCCCCACGATTTCTCCAGCTCCTCATTGATAATCGGTCGCACACGACAGAACACCTGGATGTTACCGCAGACAGTCTGCAGACGCGAAAGCAACGAAGCGTTACGCGTTCGTTCTGCCAGATACTTGCGTGCAAGCTGTTCAGGCGTAAAGTTCACTTGCAACACGTCAGCTGATACCCGTTTAGCCGGTACAACACTCGACGACATGCCCTCCTGGTTCCTCAGCCGCGCGTTCTCCGCCGATAGTGAGTTCAAAGACGTCCGCAAAGTCTGGATCTCCATCTTCAGTCGCTTAGACTCCGCCACTTCCTTCTCTGAGACAGACGGCACAGTAGAAGCAGTCGACAAAGCCGATACACGCACCAGCTCGGAGGTTCTCTTGGTTGCTTCGTCTAGCTGCTTCTGGAGGTCCAAATTCATGCTATTCAGCTCTTCAACCTCCTTGCGATTCTGCGATATCTCGCCCTTGCCAAACTGCAGCTTGCGTTCCAGCTCACTTCTCTCTTGTTTGCTCTCCTCCAAGTTCCTCGTCAAAGTCTCAACTTGCTCCTTCAGCTCGTCCACAGCTTCATTCTCGTGCTCAAGTTCAGTCTTGAGTTGACGTTCACTCTCAGCCAGATCATCATATTGCGACTTAAGGGTGTCCAGTTCGTCCTTCAGGGCAGTAATCTCCTTGTCCTTGTCTTCAAGCTGACGCTGCATGTTCTCACGTTCGTTCGTGAACGCAATACCCCCATCGTTGGCTGTAGCCATCTCAGACTGCAGCTTCAGCAATGACTCCCGCAGTTCTTCAATTTGTTCGTCACGAGTACGAATTTCTTGCGATTTGCCTATCAACTCGTCGGTCATTTCCGTCATTTCCGCCTCCATAGCCTCCATGTGAGCTAGACTCTCGCGGAGTTGCTGCATCTCGGCTTCAGCTGCTGCGCGCGCCTCCGTTTCGTCCTGTACAGTAGACGAAAGCGCCTCGATCTCCTCACGAAGCGACTCAATCAGCACTTCTCGACTGATTTCGTCACGCTCGTGCACAGTAGAGTGACGCAGCGAGTTCTCGTTAAAACTAGAGTCGTAGCCTTCATCGTCGTCCTCTGATTGACTACGCGTCGTAGCCATACTTTCGTTGTTTGAGAACGTCTCGGATACCGTCGTGGCGTCTTCGTACTTTTGCTGCAGTGCATAGAGCTCCGATTTGAGGTCCATAATCTCGGTACGGAAGCGCTCAGTGGCCAATTCGTGTTCATGCTGGAGCTCCTCTTGATCGCTCAGTAGGAAAACCTTCTCCTCCATCTCGCGCTCCATTTTGTGACGAATATCAGACTCGGTGGCCCGCAGGACACGCACTTGCGTCTCCAGTTCATCTTGCTGCTGTTCAAGCTTACGACACGCCTGTGTGGCTGTGTCCAGCTCGGTACGAGTGGCCTGCAGCTCGTTCTCGAACTGGCGCGTCTGATCCAGCGCCTCCTCCAACTTATTGCGAGCGATCTGCAGGTCACGTTCCAAGTATTGATTCTTGCTAAGCAAGTGTGTGTTGCGCTTCTCCACACGGGACAGTTCCTGCTCTAGCTCTAGTTCCAGCTCGTGGCTGGACTGCGTGTACTCGTCGAACTCGTCCTGCATCTGCTTGAGCTCCTGCGTCTTGTTGCGCAGCTCCTCGCGCAGATACACGACATTATCTTCCTCTTCGGAGCCGCTCTCCATTGTCGATAAAAGTGTTAACGAGGACTTGTGAGACGAGAGCCTTCCCCAGACGGTAGAGAGGCGTGTAAAGGAGAAGCTTCCCCTTGCGTAATGCTGGCGTGGCTGTCGTAACGGGCACATGCGGAATTTTCGCTTAAGTACGAATGGGTTGCAAGCTACCGGTTCTATCTTGAATCAGAGCCGGTATGCAAGATGATGGTGTCTGCTTCAACGGCCGATACAGAATGGCGATCTTCCACAAGATTCAACGGCCGCACAGGGAGACGGATGAGTTTGACGAAAATGCGCCTCGCTGTGCTAATTACCGCGCTAGTCGGAGCGCCCGTAGTAAGCTCTGACCCTTATGATGGCTGGGCACCGCACCGCTACTGCAACGACATGGACGGCATCGACGCCACGCGCATTCCGCCTCTCACGCGTGAACAGGCCGAACGTGTGGAGTCTCTGGAGCAGGTGCAGATCATCGCACGTCATGGTGCACGCGCACCTTACGCTAGGCTTTTCTGCTGGGACGCGCACAAGCACAACCCCATGAACGCCAAATGGGACTGCACCACCACATCCGTCTCGGTAGGCGCGCGTTGTTTGACTATGTGTAGTGACGATTAGTGAACTCACAGGTCACTTTGTTAATTTAACAGTCCCAGGACATCAGTCCAGATGACCACACGAAGGGGTTCGGACGCTTGTACCGTAAGTCGTACATGGACGGCCACAACATCCTTAAGGGTGACTGCGTCATTGGTGGGTTGCTCCCGCTTGGACATCAGCAGCACAAGACCAACGGACGGTAAGTCGGTCATAACGCTATCCTATAGCGAGCAATTGATAATCATATACATGACAGGTTTCTTCGTGACGCCTACGTGGGTGACGGCGCACTCAAGCTCTTCCCCACGGCTAACTTATCGGTATGGTCGATCGTAATTCTGCACATTTGCAAGCGTTTCAGACTAAATCCTTTATCTTGTTAATTGCCAGCACCTGGAGTTGAGCGAGATTTACCTCCGCAGTGACGATCAAGAGCGTACACTGGGGTCGGGTCAAGCCTTGATCGATGGACTTTTCCCAGTAGACGGCACAATGTCCCTACAGCTTCACCGCATGCTGATGTGGAATGTTGCTGATATCTCGGTGGACTACATTAATGCCAACGAGAACATTTGTCCGTTCATGGGTCACATCGGAGAGCTATCCAACGAATCGCCAGAGTTCTGGGCCCACCTCCGCGATCCTGTTACCGTCGAAATCGAGCACCATTTCAATGACCTCGTCGGTAATTTTTCTTGGAGCTCCGCGTTGGAGTGTCTAAGCACAGCTCGCTGCAATGGTCTGGAGCTGCCAACAGGAATTGATGAGGAAACATTCACCAAGACGTATCATGAGGTGGAGGTGCGCCAGAGTATCTTTCTGACGTACAACGACTCGTGGTATGCCAAGCTTGCCATGCAACCACTGGCTCATGACATGCTCACACGACTTGACGGTGTACTGATTGGCGATTCGGACGCGTACAAGCTCTCAGTCACGATGGGTGCGTGTGATTTCCACATTGCGAAGATTTTAATGCTTGTCATTGACCGGTTTTATTTGTTGTCTACAGCTCACGATTCAACCATCATGCCGTTCCTGGCAGCATCAGTTAAGGAGAACTGGGACCGCCTTTGGACTCCGTACGCGGGCATGCTGGTGATTGAAGTATACAAGACGAAGAGTGGCTCACACGCAGTTCGAATGATCTTCCATGGAGAGCCTCAACATATTCCTGAATGTCGCGACAGTACGTCGATTAAATAGTGGTTTCACTTTGTAGCTCAGTGAACGTGGCTCTTGTTGCTGACTTCGTTTATCGTTGCTGCAGCTTTGTGCGATATCGAGGAGTTTATCGAGGCTTTTGCCTTCGCTCGCAGCCCACGTACTGTGCACGACTGCAAGCTGCCCAAGAAGAAGAAACACAAAGGCCATTCGTCAAACCTAATGACCACAATGGCTGATACGGGCTCCCAAGCCTCTGACTACGTCGGAAGCTACTTGCTGCTGGGACTGGTGGGCGTTGCTGGACTGCTCGCCTTGCGTGCAAAGGGTCGACGCAACTGCCTGCGCGAAGTCCGCAGCGATGACGAAACGATCTCCCTTCTCCCTTAAAACTTTTAATTAAAGTGGGTGAAGATCTCGCATCTGTACTGGAAACTCGTCCAACACGCTCAAGAGAAAATGCTTCGCAAAAATAAACCTGAGCAATTGTCACTTCAACGGATTTTTCATCATTCTGACGTACTTGTACCAGAAAAGTGGTACATTTTTCGATGTGAGCGCAATCGTGAGGTGGAGATAACAGACATGTTGGTGCCGCAAGTGCTGCGCCGCGGACGTTTCTGTGCGTATCACGCTGCAAGTTTGTGCGTTAATAGAGAATCTACACGGACAGCTATTGGACGCGGTTCTCAGCCACAGCAGAGGCGGTTCCTGAGTGATGGTATGGACGCCTTCATGGAATTTGAGCGAGAGATGGCACTCAAACGAAGAAAGGAAAATGTAAGTGTAGTTAGTCACTGCTTAGCTTCGTAGTTTTGGCATTAGCGCTTCGTGACCGTGGTTTACTGCAGCCAGAGCAATTCGCGCCAACAGGTCCATTGACTCGTCCAGTTAAGCCGAAGGACGACGAGTGCTGTCACTTGGATTGTCCCAATTGTGTGCTCTTAGTCTATCAGGTTTGTCGGCGCTGCACTTAGACATGAGTGCAATCAACTAGCGTGTGCTAATGTGTGCGGTGTAGGAGAAGTTGCTGGAGTACGAGCTCAGTCTACAGATCCAGAACCAGAGAGAAAAACCTGAACCTCCGGAGCCCAAGTTCGACCTGTCGCTCTACTCCAGCAAAGATGACGAAGAACTATCTGATGCAAGGCGAAAGCTGTTACTAGAGGCCGATCGCGCGGCATTTGAAGTCGCAGCAAACGAAGTGATCAGTGCGCCGCACCAAACAACGGATGGAGCCTGGAGGTCGGTTCGCCATATTGATCTTCATATTCGTGACGACCAGCAGGACCTTGTCAGTGAGCAAGCGTCGAATATTGGTGTATACGTACCAAACGATATCTCTGTGGTGGAGCGTATGCTTATGCACTTGCACATAGAGGACCCTAACGTTGTATTCGCCGCCGAGCTTCTTCCGGATACCGCAGACGAGTCCTCACCCCAGCGTCAAGGGTTTGAACACCGTCCATTTGGTCGTGCTGGAACTGTGCACGACGCACTCACGTGGACATTTGATCTAAACTCGACGCCCCGCTCCAGTTTTCTTCGTGGTCTCGCCGCATACGCTGCAGATGAGGATGACGTTGCTGCGTTAATGTCACCTCAGACGACAGAAGCTATTCAGGCTGAGAGGTGAGTGATTTATCTGAGCCGATGTAATTTACAAGTAGCGTTTAACATTTGCCTCCTCGCAGACCCTATCAGCACGTGACTATAGCAGACATTTTCGACCGCTTCTCTTCCGTACGTCTGAGCTTTGCCGAGTTTTTCCAGATTGCGCCACCCACTGCCCCTCGCTACTACACGGTATCCTCGTCACGGCAATATGTTCCCGATATCGTCTCCATCACGTTGGGACTCCGAAAAACGGACACTCAGCCGCTACCACGGTGTTCCAGCTACCTTGCAAAGCTGAAGCCAGGTGATGCCGTTCGCGCGTCCTTCTACCAGTCGTCATTAGTATTCCCGTTCCGCGACCACCGCCCTATCATGCTTGTCAGTGCAGGAACAGGAATTGCGCCGTTCCGAGCATTCCTTCAGGATCTGGAGCATGAAAACGACACGTCGCAGCAGGAGCATCGTCCGGCTTATTTATTTTACGGCTGCCGTAAGGCAAGCGTGGATTTCTTGTACGGTGAAGAACTGCAGCGTGCACGAGACTCTGGCGTGCTGGACCAACTACACGTGGAGTTTTCAGGCGAAAGGGACCAGCCTAAACGAGTATGTGGCGTCGCAATTTTGGGTGGAGTCTTATAAGCGAGTATTTACGAGCTTGTGTTATTGTGTGTGTTTGATAGTATGTCCAAGACGCGTTGCTTGACCAGAGCGAGCTCGTGGCACGACATCTCATGGCAGACGATGGCTACATCTACGTGTGCGGCAGTCTGGACATGGGTCGGGCCGTGAAGAGTGCTATTGCTGCAGCTATACTCCAGCACCCGGAGTTTTCGGACGGTGCAGTCACCACACAAGATGACGCGGAGAGTGTCGTGGCGCAGAAGCTGGCAGGGCAGCTCATTATTACGGAGCTCTGGTAGCATCGATGCACGGGGCAAGCCTCAATGGTTCGTTATTTCGCCCAGCGTCCTGGCAGCAGGGATCCAAGTGGAGCGGCCTCTTCTTTGCAAGCGAAGTTGACCCTGGACGGCGTCCGTCTCACGAGAAAAGTAGGAGCGGCAGCAATAAGCGCATGATACTACCTCCGTTCTGAAAAAGATAACCATTTCAAATTATATTACAGCCTACCCAACAAAATACCCTCTCTATGCCGATCTTTTTTTGGATTTCGAATCTCCCGCGCTTTCCCGACCAGACTGGCTCCCCGTTGGCATTGGCGAGTGAGATATTGGCGAGTGAGATAGCGTCACAAGGCAGTGACGTAGGGAGAGTGCCAGCTCGTACTTGCTTGTCCTTGTGCCGGAGGCGCGCCAACTTGTGCGTGGGTCTGTCTGAGCGCACGCCGTATGTAGCCTTCCTTGATCAGCTGCTGAACCAAATAGCAGCTCATGTTGGACGCGCGCTGAAGCAGATGCTGGTTTTCGCGCTCATTGACAGGAACTGCAGCGATTCTCTCGCACAGCTCAGCTCGATCCACCTTCTTCCTACCACATGCGCTCTTCCTGACTTGACCACGGCTGCTACTCGATCTCCCATCGAATTGATTCCACGCCTCCAAATTCGTTCGACAACTTGGCGGCCCACACGGAAGTACGCTGCAACCCGAACGATCTCTCCATGTTTGACCACTTCTCCCACGCTGCGAAGCAGTAAGGTCTCCCAGACGGCCTGGCGCTCACTGTCTGTGATCTCCCCCAGGTGCCAGCTTACAAAATGAAAGCTGGGAGCCGTACATGCTGTTTCTTGCAGCGAGCAGCCCCCCACCGCCTACCGCTGAAGTTCCAGAAGCCCCACTGAGCGCCCCTTCAGAATGTGGCGATGTAGTTGCCGTCTTAGATCCGTTTTTGTATCTGTAGTTGCACGGCGGAGCATGAACGCCTGTGCCTTGCTTAGTTTCTCACTGTCAGCTCTCGGTCATAATAAAGCTAGCTAGCCAGCCTCTCACAAATTAATAAGCGCTCAAATGAACGAGGCTGAGCGCTGCGCAAAAAAAAAACAAATGGTTATCTTTTTCCGAACGGAGGTAGTAGAAATTAGATAGCGTAGTTTATGCTCGGAATCGCCATGTCATACACTTTTGTTGCGTAGCGCAGACGCGATCGTTGCCATCCTCCGAGAATTTCTCGTTCCTTGCCATCTCTGCTTATTGCCAGCTGCACTTTTGTGCGTAGTACCGGTACGTCGGTTGGGATGATAACAATGAGTCATTGTCGTAAGAGGATATCGAGTGAGCGGCACCTTGGCATTGGTTGGACAGAAGACACGACCACTATCACCACATAAAATTCTAGAGCAGGAACGCGAGCGCGCATGTTCCCCCTTTTGTCGGGAAACTGTTGAAACAGCTACGAGTCGTAGCCATCGTAGTACGACGGCGGTGGCCGTGAGCACACGAGACAGTGCTGCAGCATGGCTGCCGTTTTCTTTGTCAACAACTCGTCGCTGTCGCTTCAGTGTGCGCTGAATCAGCGCATAGGAGAAGGTGGATCCGTCTCACTGAGCGAAGCGAACACAGCGATCTGCTGGCCCGGGTACCGGTACCGGGTACTCTCACAGACTTGTTGACCGTCCGATCCACAGATGAGTTTTTACAGCCGGTGGAACCCTTTTGATCAAGTATAGCAGGCCCTGCAGGCAGGGCGGTGTAAATTTAGTGGGATTTGAGCGAAATATTCCAGCGATGAAAATGACTGCCCTCATTTGACTGTGTTTTGGTCGGAATCATTTCCTATCAAGTACAACAGGATATCACTATATACGAGCTCAACTTAGACAGGCTCATCTGTTCAGCGAAGCCAATCAGAAGTCGCGATGAAAGTTCAGAGAGTCTTACCACAACCGGCCGTAATCGCTGCCTGTCTCAATTTCGGGAATTGGGCTCTGTAAATGGGCAAATATTGTCTGCCGATTAATTCAGTGCCTGCAAGTTTTCGAGATTGTGGACAAACTTACGGAGTTTGATCCCCTATTATACGTGGATGGTTCGGCTTACACCAGCAACATGAGTCGCATGGCAGAGCTCACTTTTGCGAAACCAGCCTCGACCATGGCTTTCACATGCGTCGAGGATTATAGTCCAGCGAACCTATCGGTCAACAAGGGGAATCGCGGGTTAAAAGGTTCTAGCACCGACGCACAACAGTACGCGTATGAGGAATTGTATCCTTCATGGTGTTCCCCACAACTTTTAGCCAAATTGGCAAACAAACCTTCGTGATTGTTGTAGCGTGGCCTAGATCAATCATTCTTAAGCGACAACATTCAAGTTTGGGTGACTTGCTTGCTCTAAGTACTTGAGGACGTACTCTTTCTTACGGCAACTATGGCTGTCTGTAGACGGTGTTTGTGCTCTAGCAACGCTGCCCACTTAATACTGAGATGGCAATACGCTGTAGAAGCAGAGGGCGTCAAGTCAACTCCAAAACGAGTCCGCAACTTCAATTTTTTTTGCAAGATGCCTGTCCAAAACAGCAAAATAAAATTAAAAGCTATAGTATAGAATAGCAAGCACTTTCTAAATAACAGCACATTCTACATATTCCCCGTCAACGAACACTTGTTTAGTGCAACATGCCTTGCCTTAAAAGGAAAGCAATTAGTTTGCTTTGCTGCAAGTTTGTCGTCAGTTATTTGGCTCGGGGGCAGTACCAAGATATCGCCTTTTGCTAGAATTCTCTAGAATAGGCTTTCGGTATTACTTCGCTCGGCTGGCAAGTTAACGGGATCGATCAACAGCCAATCGAACAGATGAAAAGGTCTACACAGCAATTTGAGCATCGTCGAAATTATTGGGCACTTTGCGGCGAAAAAGATGCGGCGAGGATGATAATTAGGATAGGCAGGACACCTTACCCTGAGCCTGTGTCAATTTGAGACGTCAAGTCCAACGTCGGGGTAACTGGCGGCGGCTGAGGCAGGCGCATAATTGGCTTTTGCCCCCTGAGAGAGTCCCCATTTTCTACTTTGCAGCGAGAAGCACAGCACCGAACTCGCGTGTGATGCTCACAGTTATGTCGGTGAGCAGCGCTCGTAACAGCAGCGCCAAGCCCAAGAAGGAGCGGAGGCTTCGGAAGCGCCTACGCGCTTGCCTCCCGCACTTCCACGGCACAGAGTCTGAAACAGGAACCGTCGAGGAGTTGCGAGACAGCGAGTCCGCCACAGCCAAGATGCCCGCCCGCACTAGTGTGCCCGCTCCTAGACACAGCACAGATCTCCCCATCATGAACCACTCATGGTCCGACACGGAGGACATGTCTCCCGTGTCCGTCATGCTCGATCGATCCCTGCGGAAACGCCGCCAGGACAGCTCATCTGCGTGCTCGTCCCCAGCTTCAGCCTCGTCATCGTCGTCTTCGTCCTCGACATTCTCAGTATCCCGTAAGGGCGTTACGTATAGCCACGACGGTGCATTGGTCCACTGCCGCTTCTGTGAGATTCTCGAGTCCGGCGACGAACCCTTCCTGTACGAGGACGAGGACGTAGTGGTATTCCGCCCCCTGGCTCCTGTAGTCGTCAGCCACATCCTGGTGGTGCCACGCCGACACATTCGCAACGTGAACAAACTCACACCTGACGACGCCGCACTGCTGCGTCGTATGCGCGAGGTCGCCGCCAACGTACTTCGTGATATGCCACGTCCCACCGTGATGTTAGCCCCTCCAAAGGCAGAGCGGGCTCACGTCACAGCAGACTGTACCGACGAGGACTCCGAGTCGGACTTCAAGTTCGCCTTCCACTCGCCCCCTTTCAACAGCATCGACCACGTCCACATGCACGCTTTCCGCACACGTGACGGCCGCTTCGGCTGCGTCGGCTCTATCAAGTATCGCACAGAGACCTGGTGGTGTCGCTCGTTCGACGAGGTCATGACTCGTCTGGGTCTCCGTGGCCGAAAGCAGTGTGAAAGCGACGCATCGACGGTCGAGTCGGACTCAAGGAAAAAGGAACACCGACAAAGGCATCACGCTGCGAGCCACCCGCCCTGCGGCAGCGAGGTGCACTCCAATGAATCTATGGTCTTGACGTCGGTTGACAGTCTAGGTTAATAAAAAACGAGAAAACTATTTAAGATCACAAAATGCAAGGCATTCTCCTACAGTACAAATGCTCAGATTATCTAAAGTTCTTGTACGCCTTTGGAAGGCAAGACTTTTAGGTAGAGCTTTTTGTTGCTTCTTTTCTCTTTTTGATCGCATTCCATGCTTCCAGTATCTTGCTGTGATCAGCAAGGCTATGGTGCTTCTTGTTCATGGTCGTTCCCAGTGCCTTTACCGCGCCAGCATGAATAGCATTCACGTCCTCAATGCTTCCCGTCTCAGCAGCAGCTTCAAGTAGCGTTGAAAGACTCGCGATTGGCAACACGTAGTTATCAAAACGATCCTTTGCGGCCAGGTGATAGCCCTGTATCACGGCGATCTTTCTACGTGTCCACTGGTCGATGTCGCACACATTCTCGTTTCCACAAAGAGCTGGTATTGTCAGACGTAACACTGCCTTGTTGGGTGATACACCGCGCCCCGTCATGTCTTCCCAGACCATCATAAGGTCTTCTACTGCGTACACACTGACATCCTTGCCCATGGTCTTGGTCATGGTACTAAAGATGTCCTCGTAATCGACTGCCCGAATCGGAATTCCATCCGACTCGAGCTGATCCAGTGCAGCGAAGACCAGGTCCAGTCTTTTCGACGCCAAAAAGATCCGCAATACATCATGCACAGTGCGTGCTGGGTCGAACTTGAGTGCATCTGACTTCTTTAACACTCCCATGAAGTCATCATGTTGTCTTGTGGCAGTTTCAATGCATTTGGTGTCCTTCAAAGCGTCACCTATCCGCTTTGAAACCTGTTTAAACAGCACAAAGGCAGCCTCGTTGTCTTGATTCTGCTTGAAGCGTGTCAGTGCGTCTCGGACACGATAAATCGGAAGACCCTGGAATTGCATCGCCAAAAAGGCATCGTACGCCATGCGACTGTCACGCTGTTTGCCCTTACCGCCGTACACACCGACAATACGCGAGAGTGCATGTTTAAAGTCCCCGCGCACGCACTTGAATCCCCGCAGAAGGGAACGCACTTTGTCAATCTCATGGTTCTGCGAATAAGCCTCGACCGCCATATCCGACAACCAAGGCGGAACGATCCTACCCTCTTCGTCTGGGATTTTGTTTGCCTCTTGATGTTCATCATCTGCCTTTAAATCGTCGCTCACGGGTAAGACGTACGAGTCAACAATTGCCGCAGCCTGAGCGAACTTGCGGGCGTTCAGAAACTCATTGAGCAAGGGAACATCTGCCTCTTTCGTTCGTGGCTGACGTTCAGTATGCGCGTCGCTGGCCTGCGAGAGTGACGGGGTCAACATGAACGATGTCCCGTTCAGAAGCTCCTGGTTACGAGCAATCAAAGCATGCACGCGATGGTTGAATGACACGTCGTTGTCCTGCATCTCTTGGAGAATGAGTACTAACTCATTCGCAGGACCACCTCCAATTTCCAGTTCTTCAACAATCTCAAGCAACGTCGGATACTGTGCTGGCAACATTTTTACTCCGAAGCGACGGCGGTTTGCCAACAGGGCGAGTGCATGTTTAGGCCGCGCGTTCCCACGACACACGGCCAATAGTTTCATGAGTGTTTTTGAGGTCAAGCGTGATTGCGATCTTCGGAAGAAATCCAATGCCAGATCGGGTTCTCCAGCGAGACCCAGACTAGTGATAACGCGGTTCACGTCGGCCTCATGCCACTTTCTTCCGTCTTGCGTGTCCAGTTTCTTTGCTGCCTCCACTACAGTCTTTAAATCGCCCTTCGTCGCTTGAGCAACCATTACTCGAGTCACGATTTCAATGGAAGGCTTGACACCATTGGCTTCCATATCGCGCATCAGCGTCTTCACACCTTTATAGTCTTGAAGCTCAATAGCAGCCGTAATACCAAAGCGGTAGACGATCTCGGGTGGTATCTGGCCCTGTTCGGGGTCGTATCGGGTCATGGCACACTTAAAACTTTCCCGCATCCCCAGAAACTCCTTCGAAGCCATGAGGTTATCGAACATTTGCACATATACCGTGAAGCTGATGCGGTGCAAGTAGTGGATCTCTAAGTAGCTAAAGATGTCTCGCTGTAGCTTCGGCAGTGTGCAACGTCTCGAAGCCTCGTAGAAATCCTCGACGATCTCAAAAGCTATCTCTGCGCTTCCTTCTGCGCGCCTCCCCTTGCTTAGCTTCTTCCATGTCATGGAAAGCGTCTGCCTTACCTTGGACATCTCCACAGGTCCGTAGTATTCCTGTAGCTCAACCCATGGCCGTCGTACCAGCTCATGCAGTGCCACCTCGCGCACTTTGACGTCATTACTGCGCGCTTCATAACGATCGTTGGAGGAGGAAGCAAGCCCTCGACTTACGGGTACAAGGTGCTGAGTACATGACGCAGATATTGCCAGTCGCGCGTGCAGTCTGGAGCTATTCACACGAGGCGCCGTCGTCAAGCGGAGAGCCACCACAGTTGACCTCCTCGCCAATTGCCGCAACATCGAGGATACTCAATGAAAATTAGCCAATCAACAGACGAGAATCTAATGATAAGACTGTGATATTAGGCCGTAAAAACTTCAAGTAATACTAATAAGTAAGCTGCTATAATACAGTAATTCCGGGCCATTACGACGCTACAAATGATGATTGGTCAGCAATAGGGTACCACAGAGATTTAATGACCGTTTACCTTACAAGTGCTGCACAGGCTCTGTTGTTTCTGATACATGTATTACCTTCTAGCTACCTGTCTATTCACTGGTCACTAGCCCCACAGCTCTCTTTGTCGTCTTCGCATCGCTCGACTTGATGTCATCCACGAGCGACGAGTCCAAAGACTGGCTTTTCCGGTCTATTGATGTCGATCTACTCTTGGTCGGCGGACTGCTTCTCTTTGCGTTCGCGGTGCTTCCTCGTCGAGCCATTCTGACTCATAGTGATCTCGTCCATGGCCTCTTGTCCGAACAGTGTGGTCATTCGGTCACGCAATAACAGCGCCTGCTTCCAGAGACCCTGCTTCTCGCACGTCTTCAACGCCACGTTGTACATCGTCTTCACCTTCCGGAGTGCGTGGACGTCGCCGCGTTGACGTCGGAAGAAAGCTGCTTCCAGGTTGCCCTTGCCATCCTCAGCAGGGGCCACCTCCTTCAAGTTGCCTTTTTCAAAGAGACGAATGATGTCCAGAGCCTTTAGTGAGAGGTCCTTTTCTCGAGCCACGTGCACCAACTCGTAGGCAGCTGGCAGTCCGATAACAAAGTCACGGTCTTCAAGCAGCGCTATCATGTTGTCGATGGTTTCAGGCTTCTGAGCTTCAATAGCTCCACGCAGCACCGATACCACCGCTCGGAACGTGTAGCCACCGCACTCCTCGAGCATCTTCTTCGTAATCTGCTCGGCTTCTTCGATGTTGCCATCCTTGGCCAGCTTCGAGACCAAGATAGTCACCCAGCCACGTGGGACGCCCAATGTCTCCTTGTCACTCAAAGATGCCACAGCTTCCTCGTACAGCTCTCTAACCTCCGCCATGTCGCCCTCTTCCGCCATAAAGTTCAGCAGGGTTTCATAGCACAAATGTGGCAAGATGTAGCTGTCATTAGGATCGCTCTGGGCTTCAGCAAAAGCCTCGAGCAATTCCAGTCGCTGCTGTTTGTTGGCTCCGACGTAAGCAGGACACAGATAACCCACGATAGCTCTGATCACCTTCATGTTTCGACTCCTGAGGTCTTGAAGCACCATCTGAACATCGTTGATGTCGTATTTCACATCTCGGTTCTCGGAGTTCTTCGAGTTTCGCAGGTGTTTGCGCATCGAGCTGAGAATTGTGACGTAGTTGCCTTGGTTTGCGTCCAAGCCACGACTCTCCATCATTTTCAAAGTATCCAAAGCTTCCTCCACTCGGCCATTCTCCACCAGTATTTGCAGAACCATGTTACCCACCTTGCCAATGTTGAAATTCACGTAATACGGCCTGGATTGTTGCTCCTCCGTCCCGTCGACATCATTCGTCACAGTCATGGGCGCATTTCTGCCATCTTTTCCCCAATATGAAGCTAGTACCTGTTGGAACAGCTCCACAGCAGCATCTGGGTCATGAAAGCGACGGAAAAGTCGCAGTGTGTCGTCCACGCGGTAAACCTGAACACCTTGGAACAGCATTGCCTTGCTCGCAGCATACCCAAGTTCGTCTCCCGTCTTGTTTCGTAGCTTCAGGTAATGCGTGACCACTTCAGCCAGAGCATAGGCGTATTTACCACGAACCACGGAGAAACCCTTGACCAAAGCAGCCACCTTGTCGTCCTCGTTCGTCTGGATGTACACGCGCACAGCGTCTCTAGCCACTGAAGGACTCACAAGCAAAGCGTCTTGAGGAATTTCGCCTTCAAAATCTTCCGGCACTTGCGACTGTTCCACAGGTTTCGCAATGGAATCGACCAAGTCCGCTGCATCTTTTGTGTTGCCTTGAGCAAGCATCTCACGGATTCGAGGACTTAACGTGAAGCCTGCGGTCTTACTCTTGTTGGAATCAGCCACGAAGCTCGTATCCTTGAGGAACTCAGCGTTACGCTCGATGATATTGTTCGTTCGGGTGTCAAAACGCACGTTGTTCTCGACCATCTCCTCCAAAATATCCTTAATCTCACTGTTGCGGTCGAGGAATTCCAGCGTCATCATGATGCGGTTGTAGCCACGAGCATCCAGAAACAGATCGAACTTTTTGCGGTTCGCTAGGATATCTGAAGCCTGTTGCTTGCAGTTGTTGCTTTTGCAAACACTTAGAAGAGCGATCAACGTGCCGCCGCTTAGCTTCATGCTCGAGTTGCTGTAGAACTCGAAGGACTTGGCAGGCTGCTCGATGATGCCCATACTGAGGATCACACGGTCAATGCAAGACTCGTGCCAGAAGCCGATCTGCGGGTCCACCGAGTTGTACAGTTCCTGCACCTTATCAGTGTCTCCCTTCCGGGCAAATGCCATCATGAGTCTCGACGTGATCTCGTTGGTCGTTTCGTGGCCATCCTCAGTCATTTCCTGCCAGATCTCGACAGCTTTGTCCATGTCGTTGTTTTGCAAAAACCCGACAATGCCGAAGCGGTAAATGATCTCAGGCACCGCCCGGAAGCGTGGTTTGGCAGTCTCGTAGATCTCAATAAGGCGCTTGGAGTTGTTCTTGCGTGCCAAGATGCGGAATATCTCGCCATACACTGAAAAGTTGATGTGTGCCGGATAATTGGCATCGAGGAACTCGAAGGCGTCCACCATGACGGAGATGGCGCGTGTCTTCTGCGCCACCATGAACAAATCGATGATCTCATCACTGGTTACGTCTTCGCGGGCCATGGCGTCGGACAGTTCGCCCTTGAGTGCCTTGACTACCGTGCCAATTTGCGCATCTCCGAGCTCATTGCGGAGGTCGCGCGTCGAGCGAGTGAGTAGCACCTCGCGGTCCACGCCAGCGATATTGGTGAAGTAGGAGTTCACACCACCAAGTTGCTGTAGCGCCAGAGGTGCACGGGCGACGGACACCCGAGTCGCTTCGATGCGCAGTTGACGGAGCGCCGCAACACGACACGCACGCCACATACTTTGATTGATACCGACGGAGTCGGATGCGCTTTTGATGTGCTCCCTTCGTATCCAGTGAATGATCCGAATGTTCACTTGAACTGAGTATGATTTCTGGTGGTGTGCGCCACATACCGATATTGTCTCCGAAACGACGCGAACGAAGAGCTATTATATTGCGTCGAGGCAACGGAGAAGATGCAGGTGCTGACACCGCAGCAACTATCGGCACTCAATGAGGCGAAGGTTGAGCACGAGTGTCTTCACATTGTTAGGGCTGCCTTGGATCTCACATTGTATCTCTTGGACAGGTCATGATCCGCATGGACAACGAGCAGTATCTACGCGACCACCCGGACGTTGCCAAGCTCATGCGCGCTCTGGTACGCGGTATTTTGAGTAATCGGCCTGCCAATCCAAGCACATACGCACACCAGTTCTTCTCGAGGGACAGCACAGCTATCCGTCAAGACCTAGACGCCAAGGAATAATGATCACAAAGGAAAGTAAAAAAGTTCGTATACACGTTACACCGCCGCACTCACGCTATCGCCTCCTTACGCGCCATCAAAACTCAAAGAAGGCAAACGTATCCATCCTGCCCCGCCAGTTGTCGTCGTCCGCGAAGGTTGTTGCTCCGCGCTCTTGATTCAGGGCGTGACATGTCCTTGTATTGTGTTCTCGCTCTGTTATCTAGGCCCATCGGCTCGCCCTCAGCAGCGTAGCCTCTCTTCTCTCTCACGTTCTTCCTCTACCAGGAACGAGGGGGTTGTGACCGTCACCGAGCATTTACGCACTCGAGTCGGATACGCTGGTGATCTCGTCGGTGTGATGCGCGCCACCACGCAGCTTTTGCTCGGCTGCATCACGCACAGGCTGGAAGAACGCGTGCTGCATCGCCTCTTTTGCGGTTAGTCGCTCCTGGTGGTCGTAACGCAGCAGACCATCAAGGAAGTCAATAGCCTCAGGGGACACCAAGTGCTTGTTGTCTTGTGTGATAAACTTCTCCCACGGCTTCTTCGTGTGCGTGCCCAGGATCCCATCGTACTGTGGGTCCAGCTCCAAGTCGTATGTCGTCAGGTAGTCAAACAGCTCGTCCGTGCCCTTCACCTTTGCGATCTTCACCAACTGGTCGCAGTTGTCGTGTCCGTGGAAAAATGGCTCCTTGCGGAAGATCATGGCCGCAAACATGCAGCCCAGACTCCACATATCGAGCGAGTAGTCGTACTCCTGCATGTCCACTAGAAGTTCTGGTCCCTTGAAGTAACGACTAGCCACACGAACATTGTACTCGCGACCTGGGTGGTAGAACTCGGCGAGACCCCAATCGATGAGACGCAGCTGGCGTTTCTCGTGGTCAATCATGACGTTGTGAGGTTTAACGTCACGATGCATGATGCCGTTGGAGTGGCAGTAGTCCAAAGCCTTCAGCAGCTCGAACAAGTAGTAGCGGATGTCGAAGTCGCTGAGAGTGGGGTAGAGCGTCTTAAAGTCCGTGTTGTTCACGTATTCCGTCACGAGACTGGGGGTCTTGGACTGGGGGTCACGAACCACATCCAGCAACTGGACGATGTTCACGCCACCCGACAAATTCTGTAGGATCTTGATTTCACTATTGGGATCAAGAGAAAAATAAAAAAAATATTGGTGAGTTTTTGACGATCCAGACATTAACAGCCATCTCATACAACAGACTCACCGCTTAATTTTTTTCTTCTTGACAGGCTTGAGAATTTTGATGACACAGCGCGAATTGTTGGCCACGTTGTAGCCCTCGAACACCTCGCTGTACTTGCCACGGCCAATCTTGCGGATCACCTCGTAGTTGTCTTGGTCCCTGCACAGGCATACGACGAGGACTGTGAGCCTTCAAATGAGCAGATAGAAAAGAGATTACACCGTAATGGCTACAACCGCCCTCGCTTCGCGCCTCTAAAGCGGAAGATTTCGGAGGGGGAGGCATGGAGCAATGGTTTAAAAAGGACTGGTATGGAGAGAAGCAACGTACCCCCAGGCCACATTGAGCGTCTCGTAATCCCAGTACTCGCGCGGGCGCGTCTCATTCACGTCACAGTACACGCGGGCGCGACTCATGACCAGCTCCTCCTGGTCGCGGCCGCCTTTTGGCCTTCTAACTCAGCTGACTTGAGCTTTCTTTTTTGGAAGGCTCTCGGCGAGCTTAAATGCCTTACAAATATTAAGTAAAAAAAGATGACTCGAATTCTTGTACCCTTATTTGGAAACTGGAATGGTCCTTAACCGGAAACTCGAAATAATACTTGTACCGTTGATGACAGAAAAAACACCAGTTTTTTTTTTACAATTTCCATTATCGGAGAGAATTTCACCGCACAAGGTGAGGTACAGGGAACTATACTAGAAGCACCTAGAGAAGCAGGGTATTGATCCCATGCCTCTCGCATGAGAAGAGAGCTCTTTATTGTTTTGTCACAACGAAGTGATACATGTAGCTGAAATTTTGGATTGGAACTCCATCTTAACAAAATGCTGATCAGCAACGAGCGCACGAATACAATGAATATTATCCCATTTTGCTACCAAAACTAGCGAAAGCTGCATGTTTTGCGAAAGTAGGCGGCAAATTCTTCATAAAATAAGCAAGACTTGTTGGTTTTATAAAACACGTCATGTGGTATTTCTCTGGCTCGAAGGAACTGGCCCTTTGAATTATGGCCAATGGCGTTACGAATAAGTTTCACCTTTGCTCAAAGTGGTTCGACATATTTATCGCTTTTGAGAAGGCCGCAAAGAGAGTTGAGTGGACACCATTTTCAGCTAGTACATGTTATGGCTGACTTCAGCGACAGCGAGGATGCCACGCTGGTACCACTATACCGTGAGTATGTTCACGCTGGACAACAGATTGATTGGACTGCTGTTTTAAGACAGATGAAGATCAAGGGCAAGTCTGCGGGAGCGTCTCAAGACCTTGACGAAAACGCATGGTAAGAGACTCGATAGGTACCCTCAGTACTTCACTCGGCGGTCAGATGTTCGTCTATATCGATCAAGGACGACCTCGTCATCATCAAGTACTGTTACCGCTAATCAAAGCGAAGGATACGATTTGACTCTGCCCAGAATCGACCCATCTCGTAGTCAAACCATAACGTTGGCAGATATACAAAAGGTGACGTCGCAAATTTTCGGCTTTGTCTCGAGTCAAGATGTACGTCAATGCGTTGGTAAGGCGTATTTAAATGCGGGCGAGATCACGACACAGGGGGTCTCACAATTATTGGACAATCTGGCGGTGTCGGCAGCCGATTCGTTAGCTGACATAGGGTGTGGCGTTGGAAATGTGCTTGTTTAAGCTGCATTGCAGACACAATTAAGTGCATGCATTGGTATAGACGTGCGTCGGGACCTAATTGAAGTCGCTAACACTGCAGTAAAGTTATACAAGGACGATTACCCTGACTTGGCTAAAGTCTCGAGTTTGGAAGCCGATATACGATTGCTAGAGCGATGCGTTCTGACCAAGCTACAGCACTGTACTGTATTCCTATCAAACAACGTATTGCTCGAAGAAACAACTAATCTTGCCATCGAACAGTTCTTGTGCTCCTCGACGTATACTAATCTACCTATTTTGGCAAGGCCTGTGTGCCCAAGACGCGGTCAGTCGTGCAAGCATTTATTCTGCGAATTGTGGACGCTACAGGCTGTGATACAGCTTCCAGTATCATGGTCAAATAATTCATATGCATCCCATCTTTACGCGCGCGCGCTTGTAGTGTATAGCAAAGTGACTAGAAGTAAAAACATGTATTGTTTGCACTGTTCGGTGCTACATTAACCTCCGAAACATTAGAAACAAATGATCCTGAGCTAGACGGAGTAGCTTGAGCGGGTATAGAGGCGACAGAAAGCTTGTATAATTTTGAAGACCGTCGTACGTTTCCTTTAGCTGTAAACTGTTTTTTGGGCAGGTAGTACTGGTGGAATTTATTCCAGCATGTCATTGTGCTGTTTTGGTACGTAAACACAAGTACAGCGTCCGCGGGATAGCACTGGCTGCATAGCGATACAAAATGACTCTGGCAGAATACTGTCTTCGTCGTAGGGGGTCGCCTTTCAAACCGACATACCACGCACTCTCGCTTGGATCGCGATGCTCGAAATGCTATCAATGAGTGCTGAGGTGTGACGGGGTCACACAGCACCTTGCGCTAGAGGAAGTTATCTTCCGAGAGTATACAAACTCTCAGTGAACGGAAGTTCACAGGTCCCCTCTTTAATTAAAGAGAGCGAAGTGACCTAAATAAGGTAGATTGTAAACTGAGTATATTTATAGATAGGTTAAGTTTGGGTTTAATACAAACTGTTAATTACCTATAGAAATGCAATGTCATTTAACCAATGCTTGGCTTTGAACGACCTTGGTACCTTGTACCAAATATCTTGGAGTATGACGTGTCATACTCCTGAAGTGTGAAGTGTCACACTTCATGTAGCCAGGGTACACTTAGGGCTACGTACCCCGTTACATCCTCCCCCACTTAGGTTCGGCTTACCGACCAATCAGAATGAAGAGGTGTTCGTCACAAACTCTCATTCTCAAAGTCGAAAACCATCGACTTGGCCGCGCGAGCGCGGCGGAGGCTCACTTCACAGTTAGAGCCTCGAGCAGTAACCTGTGCGCTCTTCGTCTAGGTCTCCACTTCGACCGTTAACATGCCTCGTGGCACTGCTAAGAGCGGTGCTAAGACACGCTCCAAGGCTGCAGCCGGTAAGGCGCAGGCCAAGAGCACAAAGCCTCACGGCAAAGGCTCTGCACTTAAGGAGGCTACTCAGGTGGCCTCCGAGGCGATCGGTTCCTCGGGTGACGCGGCTGTGGACAAGCGCGCAAGCAAGCGCCGCAGCCCGTCGCGTAGTGCTCAGTCATATACGAAGGCTTTTATGCCGATTTGAGGCGTTCCGAAGTCGAATCCACTCGCCAAACAAATTGTCATGCTGACCGGATCATCGACTGATGCGACTGTGGAACACTCTCTCGGTAGGCGCCATCCCTTGACTAGTGGTCTCTAACGGACTAATTATTGATGTCAGTTGACTAAGCGGCAGCGCCGCGCCGTTAAACACATCTGGAGCATCGAGAGCTGCTAGCTGTGGGGATTGACTATACCGCCGATTCAAGTACTCGGGTGCCGGGGCAAAATGCGTGGCGTAGACTCATAGGCCATAGATGAGCATCGTGGGGGCCACAGGGAGCAGCGAAAGGGTCAAAAGGCAAAGATAGAGCAAGCATAATGAATATAAGAGTGCGCGTGCCCGGATTCGAACCAGGAATTTCACCGCCACAAGGGCAGGTACTGACCACTATACTACACACGCCTGGAGAAGCAGGGTATCGATCCCTGTACCTCTCGCATGCTAAGCGAGCGCTCTACCATTTGAGCTACATCCCCGGATACTCGATACACATCCCCGCCAACGATAAAATTCACATTGCGGACGCAGCATCACCTCACCCACACTCTCACATACACCCTGCGCTTCCCACGCCGCTCACGCCTCTCTTCCGTATGATCCGAGCATCCGAAATAGTAGAAATTGTATGCGAGACCATACAGCCCTCCAAAATCACTTCACATAATTGCAACCTTTACCGCTGCGTGCACGGCTTAACGAGACTTGTAGAAGCTGCCCGCGTAGTGCTCAGTCATACACGAAGCCTTTTATGTCGATTTGGGGCGTTCCGAAGTCGAATCCACTCGCCAAACAAATGGTCATGCTGACTGGATCATCGACTGATGCGACTGTGGAACACTCTCTCGGTAGGCGCCATCCCTTGACTAGTGGTCTCTAACGGACTAATTATTGATGTCAGTTGACTAAGCGGCAGCGCCGCGCCGTTAAACACAGCTGGAGTATCGAGATCTGCTAGCTGTGGGGATTGACTATACCGCCGATTCAAGTACTCGGGTAGCGGCGCAAAATGCGTGGCGTAGACTCATAGGCCATACGTGAGCATCGTGGGGGCCACAGGGAGCAGCGAAAGGGTCAAAAGGCAAAGATAGAAGAAGCATAATAAAAATAAGAGTGCGCGTGCCCGGATTCGAACCAGGGATTTCACCGCCACAAGGTGAGGTACTGACCACTATACTACACACGCCTGGAGAAGCAGGGTATCGATCCCTGTACCTCTCGCATGCTAAGCGAGCGCTCTACCATTTGAGCTACATCCCCGGATACTCGATACACATCCCCGCCAACGATAAAATTCACATTGCGGACGCAGCATCACCTCACCCACACTCTGACATGCACCCTGCGCTTCCCACGCCGCTCACGCCTCTCTTCCGTATGATCCGAGCATCAGAAGTTGTAGAAATTGTATGCGAGACCATACAGCCCTCCAAAATCACTTCACATAATTGCAACCTTTACCGCTGCGTGCAAGGCTTCACGAGACATGTAGAAGTTGCCCGCGTAGTGCTCAGTCATACACGAAGCCTTTTATGTCGATTTGGGGCGTTCCGAAGTCGAATCCACTCGCCAAACAAATGGTCATGCTGACTGGATCATCGACTGATGCGACTGTGGAACACTCTCTCGGTAGGCGCCATCCCTTGACTAGTGGTCTCTAACGGACTAATTATTGATGTCGGTTGACTAAGCGGCAGCGCCGCAACGTTAAACACATCTGGAGCATCGAGAGCTGCTAGCTGTGGGGATTGACTATACCGCCGATTCAAGTACTCGGGTAGCGGCGCAAAATGCGTGGCGTAGACTCATAGGCCATACGTGAGCATCGTGGGGGCCACAGGGAGCAGCGAAAGGGACAAAAGGCAAAGGTAGAAGAAGCATAATGAATATAAGAGTGCGCGTGCCCGGATTCGAACCAGGGATTTCACCGCCACAAGGTGAGGTACTGACCACTATACTACACACGCCTGGAGAAGCAGGGTATCGATCCCTGTACCTCTCGCATGCTAAGCGAGCGCTCTACCATTTGAGCTACATCCCCGGATACTCGATACACATCCCCTCCAACGATAAAATTCACATTGCGGACGCACCACCACCTCACACACACTCTCACATGCACCCTGCGCTTCCCACGCCGC